GAGGTATTCAGAGGGACCTCCTCGACCTCCTCGGCCGGCTCAGCATGTGGCCTCTCCTCGTCCTTGGCAACGGTTGTCGTGATGGTGTCTATCCTCTGACCCTCCCTCTCGGCCGGCCTTGTCAGCTTGAGGTAGCACGCTCTGGCTATCCTCTGGTTTCCTCTGGCGTAGCCGATGCCGTCATTGGTGGGGAACTTCAGACATAAGTGCTTCATGGAGATGATGGCCTCCAAGTCCTCCAGCGCTGGCCGTCCCAAGATCAGGTTGTGGGCGCACTGGAGGTTGACCACCATGAACTCCATGTCAATCTTGGCGTGGTGGGGGCCGTCACCGACCTCCACGGGGAGGACTATCGTGCCCTCGGCGTCGATAGAGTCCCCGGTGAAGCCGGATAACGGTGTCTTGATCGGCCTTAGCAGAGCCCTGTCCAGCTTCAGCTACCTGAAGGTATCCAGGTACATCACGTTGACGGAGCTCCCTGTATCGATGTAAGTGCGGTGGATGATGGAGTCACCGATCTCACACCGGATGACGAGGGCGTCCCTGTGTGATTCCGTACCCGGAGGCAAATCCTTGTCGGTGAAGGTGATCGCCTCCGTTCGCTGCTTCTTCGGCTGGGGGGGAACGTGGGACACCTCCCCAATGTAGAGGGATTGGGCCCATTTCTTTCTCTGAGTGGCGGAGTCTCCCCCACTGTTCCCACCTACGATGAGGTGAATGTGATTCTTCTTTGGCGGGGGCTCTTCGAAGTCCTCGTCGTCGCTGAGCCTACCAATCTCCCGCTTCTTCGCAGAGGGTTCGCCCCCATGTTTGCCGGTGTTTACCCATGTATTTTTGCGTGGGCCGCCTTTAACAAACTGGGAGAGTTCCCCCTGGCGAATAAGGCGCTCGATGGCCTTCTTCAGTGTGATGCAACCGTCGATGTTGTGCGACGAGTTCTTGTGGAACCGACAGTATGTGCCGCCCTGCTGGATGGCAAGGATCTCCTCGGCCGGCCGAGGAGCCTGCTCGATGAGGCCGTGCTTCTCGGCATAATCGAGGATGGTGCCGACCGGGTGAGTGAGGGAGACCCCCGGCCGTTCCAACCTCGGCCGCCAGTGGCGATCTTTCTTACACTGTCCACCAGAGCCGTGACGGCCCTGGGCACCCTGGCCGGCCGGGGACGGACCCGAGGCCGGCAAAGGATTTGTCTTCTTGGAGGGATGGCCCCCCTCTTTCTTGTGATTGTGGAGCTCGTCGGCGTCGGCGTACAAGCCTCCGCGCTGGAGCGCCTTGGCGTACGACCTCGGAGGGTCGGTGATAAGGCTGCTGGCGTACGGGGAGCTGCGGAGGGCTCCCTGGTACAGGGCGAGGAGGGTGCGCTCATCGGCCCCCTCGACCTCCTCGGTTTCCCTCGTCCACCGATCAATGAATGACCGGAGGGACTCCTCGTGCTGCTGCTTGACGGAGAGGAGGTGGGTGAAGTACTTCTTCGCACGCTCCCTCCCGGCAAAGTGAGTGAGGAAGCGTTGGGCGAGATCCTGCCACGAGTCGATGCTCCCTTCGGGGAGCGCGTTGAACCACTCGTACGCTGGCCCCTCGAGAGTAGAGAGGAACCAACGGCAGAGGTATTCGTCGGACGCGTTCACCATCAGCATGTTGTTCTGGTAACGGCTGAAGTGTTCCTAGGGGTCTGATCGGCCGTCGTAGGACTTGATGGCGTTCCCCCTGTACTTCTCCGGGATGGGGGCCGAGAGGACTCTGTTGGTGAAAGGGGTCCTGGTCCTGACCTGGATGATGGGGTCACCTCGCCCCTCGGCCAGCTCCCTCTCCAGGGCGCTAACCTTATTCATGAGCGCGTTGAGGCCGGGGTCGTTGGAGGCGCCGGCCGTAGGGATGTTGGCCGACTGCTTGGCCTCCATCTGAGCCAGCCTCCTTTCCAGCTGGGCGATGACCTCGTCCCGGGGGTCCCTGGCGGCCGCAGCGGCGCCCGGCTGGTTCCTCATGCGCTCGCCGTGAGCCGCATTGATCTGGTGGCGCACGTCGTCTTCGTGCAGCTTCCCCTTGCCCTTGTCCGGGTGGGGCTGGTCCGCTGTCCGGGACACAGACCCCAAGCTCTCCCTCGGCGAGCCAGGACGACGCTCACCAATCCGTCCCGCCATCCTCTCCGAAACTGGACGACGGCGCGTGTCGCCTAGCCTGTTGAAGGCAGAGGCTTTTCCACGCGTTGGGGTCTGCCCGGGCCGAAGAGGGGAAGCAGGGTGGGAGTGGGACGACGCCGTGTCCTGGGCCACTACCCCCTCATCGTTGCCTATCTGGTCGGCCAACGGTTGGGGCTGAGGTGGTTGAGTGACGTTCCCCCCGGTCCTTGGCAAGAGTGCGCTGAGGACGGTGGGGTTCTGAGCCAGGATGGCGATGATGACCGACAGCGCGACCTGGACCTGTGGATCCACGGACGGAGAGGCCGCGGCCATAGGCTGGGCCGGGGCGTGATCCGTCTTCTCAGCTCGTTTCTTGTCCAGGCCGAGGCGGGCATCAGGGGCTCCGCCGTTGAGTTGGTTGCGGAGGTCCGTTGTGAGGTTGAAGGCCTCCTGGAAGAGGTCCCCTCCGCCGACCTGGTCGGCCGTGGCGTCCTCATCGTGCTCCCTGGGCTCTTGGTCCTCAGGGATGGCCTTGCTGACGAGGTTGCGGTTTGATTTAGTTCTTCCCATGATCAGTGGTTAGCCGCGCTTGGTAGCGACGAAGGATGCTAACTTGATTGTTCTAGCTCTCAATGAAAGCACCAAATGGTAGAGTATATCTAGAGAGAAGTGAGAGCTAGAGAGAGAAGTGCAATAATATGTTTCAATAGAATGAATTTTGTAACCCCTATAACTACTCCCAAGGGGAGTATTTATAGAGAAAATACGGGCTGGGCTCCCAAGCCTTGGGCTTGGGAGGCCCATTTACAACTGGACCGCTATTGGGCCGAATACAAAGCCACTAATGGGCTGTACAAATGAGTAAGTGTAGAATCCGGTTCTGTGGAGTCTTCGTGGCCGACGAGGGCGTGGCCGACGAGGGCACGGCCGACGAGGGCGCGGCCGACGAGGGCACCCGGGTTCCTTGGCTTCAGGACCATAATCTGAGTTGGCACCTTCCTGGCCGACGGGGGTCCCTTGGCCGACGAGGGCGCCACTCTGTGTCTTGTGCTTTCTGTTCTTCCGAGTATGTGGGTCCAGGGGCTCAGACCCATATACTCCATCAGGTACATACACAGAACAACCAAATATTTTTATGTGTGATATATTTGGTTCTTTACGAGATATTAATTGCAATGGGGAAAATTTATGATATGCAGTTGGCCTGAGCCTAATTAAATTTGCAGCATGCATTATAGCATATCCCCATGCAGATGATGGTAATCTGGATTTCATCAATAATGGTCTAGTAATTAATTGTAATCGCTTAATTAAGGATTCAGCAAGACCATTTTGTGTATGCACATGTGGAACTGGATGTTCCACATCAATCCCAATTGACATGCAATAGTCATTAAAAGATTGGGATGTAAATTCCCCTGCATTATCAAGTCGGATTTTCTTTATTGAAAAATCCGGAAATTGTGATCTCAAACGAATAATTTGAGCAAGGAGATTTGCAAATGCAAAATTTCTAGTCGATAAAAGACTGACGTGTGACCAACGTGTTGATGCATCAATGAGCACCATAAAGTATCGAAAGGGTCCACACGGAGGGGCAATTGGCCCACAAATATCTCCTTGAATTCTTTCTAAAAATGCAGGAGATTCAACTCCAATTTTGTATAAAGATGGCCTGATAATTAATTTGCCAAGAGAACAGGTTGTGCATGAGAAATCACTTGATTGTGGAATTTTGACATTATTTAATGAATGTCCAAGTGAATTTTGAATAATTTTGTGCATCATAGTGCTGCCTGGATGACCTAAACGGTCATGCCACAAGATAAAGGAACTGTGGTCATTAATTTTAGATACCACATTTATCTCAATTGGACTGATATATGTATAATATAGTCCGGAGGAATATGCTGGCATTTTTTCTGAAATGTATTTATTGCCAGATCTATTTGTCGTTAGACATAAATATTCCTTTTGATTTTCAGACATGGTTTCAATGTGAAAACCATTTAGACGCATATCTTTGAAACTCAAAAGATTTCTCCGTGATTTACTGGAGTATAAAGCGTCTTTAATTATTAATTTTGTCCCTTTTGGGAGAATTACACAGGCTATTCCAGAACCTTCAATGAGTTTAGCAACACCTGAGATTGTATTGACATTAGCATCAACTAATATCATATGAGAAAAATAATCTCTATGTCTCAAAATGGTGTGCGTTGTGGCACTGTCTATTAAACATTGTTCAAAGTCATTTGAAGAAATTTCAGTTAACTCCATATCTTTAAAAAGATAAAAATGAACAAATATTAGTTCAATATTGCAATATAAACAAGAATTTATTCATTAAAATGTACATAACTTTTACAACCGAAACAAGCATATCAAATAAAAATTACAATACAACAAACTTTTATTGTAGAATATATTACATAACAGAATAATTTCATTTTTATTATTATTATTTTTCACTCATGACGATGTCAGTGTTCATCTCATTATTATCCATATAGAAATTAGACATATTAAATGTGGGCATTGGTGGAACGTTTTCGTTGACGTAATTAGTTTCCACATTCTTTCCTTTTAGAGATGATTTATATAAGTCAACCAAATGTGTAGGTGTGCGACACTTATTTGCCCAATGTCCCGACGTGCCACATTTAAAACAAGTGACTTTAGCCTTTTCTGAAGATTTCGTGTTGGTGATTTTAGTATCACCAGGTTCATTTTAGTGTAATGGAATTTACAGATTACCAATGGAGTTCAAGTTTAATTTTAGACAAGTTAGGAGGTGCGGAGCGCACACTTGTAAGAAATTAAATTTAAACTTGGTTCGATTAAATGGCGGGGGTCAAGGGGGCTGCGCCCCCTTGCGGGGTCCAAGGGGCAGCGCCCCTGGCGGGGTCGAGGGAGGCCGCCCTCGCGGAGTTCGGGGCAGCGCCCCGGACCAAAATTTTATTTTATTAAAGAAATAAATATGGAAATTTATTTTCGGATAAACATGTCCATATTAATTATTTAATAGAATGACTTTCTGTTAGAGTAAAACTCTAACCGATTGGCCTTATCTCTTGGGTAATCAGAAGAATTCGAGTTCTACTAAAACTGCTAGTTCGTGGTCTATATATTGGTGCCTCAGTTTTAGACTGTCTCTTAGAGTGATTATCCCCATAATCTAAATTTCGTGTAACCCAGGCATAGGGTCGAAATATTAGATTCGGAAAGTGATCACACGATACTCTGAGAAATCCGCCAGATTTTCTAAAACAGTTTCCCAACTCCCCAGTTCTAACAATCGAATCTAATATTTTTTCTTGTTTCGGAAAATCATGGCTGAATCTGTAAAAGAGATGACTTCCAAATTCGACAAGTTGGAGAAATTCCAAGGAGTTGATTTCCGTCGCTGGCAAAAGAAGATGCACTTTCTGTTGACCACACTGAAGGTGGTTTACGTTCTGAGTACGCCTATGCCAGCGTATCACGAAGATGAAACTATTGAGCAGTCAAGGCGTCGTTCCAAGTGGGAAAACGATGACTACATCTGCAGGGGCCATATTCTAAACGGTATGTCTGATACTTTATTTGATATTTACCAAAACGTGGAGAGTGCGAAGGAATTGTGGAATTCACTTGAGTCCAAGTATATGGCTGAGGATGCTTCTAGTAAGAAGTTCCTTGTTAGTGATTTTTATCACTATAAGATGATGGACTCAAGGCCTGTTATGGAACAATACAATGAAATTCTTCGCATTCTGGGCCAACTCACTCAACATAATATGAAGATGGATGAGTGCGTCGCAGTAGCGATGATAATTGAAAAATTACCACCAACATGGAAGGATTACAAGCGTGATCTGAAACATGGGAATGAAGAGTTGTCTCTGTTACAACTCGGTAGTCACATACAGATTGAGGAATCACTCCGCATTCAAGAAGGTGACAAAAATAAGGCAAAGCCTGATGTTGGACAGCCTACTGCCCACATGGTTGAAGTAAACATAAACAATCAAAATCACAAGGGAAAAGGCATCAAACGCAAGAATGATAGTCGAGACAAACCAAATAAGAATCCTAAGGATCTGGTTTGTTGGAGATGTCAAAAGACGGGTCATGTTAAGCGTGATTGTCGGGTGAATCTCAATAAGAACAAAGCTGCAAATAGTGGTGGAGGAAACAGTGGTGGTGGAAACAGTGGGCCTAAGGACTCTTTATAATTCTACTCAGAATTATTGTTCACTAATTCCTGGTTCTTTTTATGTACAGGATGATGACCGTACATGGTGGGTTGACTCGGGTGCCACAAGTCATATGTGTAAAGATCGTCGATGGTTCGAGAAATTGACACCAGTTGATGATGGTTCCACGGTGATGATGGGTGATAAGTCGAGTCAACCAATTTGTGGCTTTGGAGTTGTTAGTCTTACGTTTACTTCGGGAAAAACAATAAAGTTGTCTGATGTTTTATTTGTTCCTAGGCTTAGTAAGAACCTTGTTAGTGGTGGTTGTTTAAATTCTGATGGCTTTAAGCAAGTCTTTGAATCGGATAAATTTATTTTATCTCGATTTGGCACGTTTGTTGGTTTTGGTTATTTTACTAATCGTATGTTTTGTTTGAATTTGGTTGATACTTTATCTTCTGTTGGAAATTCTGTGTTTGTATCATCTGCATCATTTACTTCTTCAATTGATAATGCCATGCTATGGCATGCTCGTTTAGGTCACGTTAATTTTAGAAGAATGCATGAAATGTCAAAAGATGGATCAATTCCTGCCTTTGATATCAATACAGAAAAATGTAAAACTTGCATGTTGACCAAAATCACAAGACAACCTTTTCAAAATATTAATCGAAATTCTGGAATTTTGGAATTGATTCATAGTGATCTTTGTGATTTTCATTCAACTCCCTCACTTGGCAACAAAAATTATGTCGTAACTTTTATTGATGATTCAACTCGGTTTTGCTATATGTATTTGTTGCATTCTAAGGATGAAGCCTTACAAAAATTCAAAATATACAAAACCGAGGTGGAATTGCAATTAAGCAATCCGGTTAAATGTCTTAGAACTGATCGGGGAGGGGAATATATGGATACCCAATATTTCCAATCAGTTGGTATCATCCATGAGACCACGGCACCATATACACCACAACAGAATGGTGTTGCCGAAAGGAAAAATCGAGTTTTAAAAGAAATGGTCAACTCGATGTTGTCTTACTCAGGCTTGAGTAAGGGTTTTGGGGGGGAGGCAATGCTTACCGCATGTTATGTCTTGAATAGGGTTCCAAATAAAAGGAACAAGAAAACCCCATATGAATTATGGTTCAAAAAGTCTCCAAATTTGAGTTACCTCAGAATTTGGGGCTGTCGGGCAGTTGTCAAACTAACCAATCCCAAAATAAATACTTTGGGAGAAAGGGGAATTGACTGCATTTTCATAGGATATGCTGAAAATTCCAAGGCATATAGGTTCTATGTTATAGATCCTAATAATTCGGTTTCTGTACATACCGTGATTGAGTCGCGAGATGCGATTTTTGATGAAATGCGTTTTTCATCAATCCCAAGGCCTAAGGATCTGATTTCTAACAGTAATGAAGGACAAATTTCAGAAACTTTAGAAGGTATATCAGATCCGGAACCCCAAGAGGTCAGGAGGAGCAAACGGGCTCGAATTGCTAAAAATTTTGGCTCCGATTTCCAGCTGTATTTGGTGGAAGGATCAAGGGATGAGGTTGGATTTCAATACTCGTATTGTTACAGTATTGAAGGAGATCCAAAGACCTTTAAAGAGGCCATGGAATCCCGAGATGTGACCTTTTGGAAAGAGGCAATTGATGATGAATTATCATCAATTTTAGAAAACAATACATGGGTGCTATGTGATTTGCCACCAGGTTCTAAACCTTTGGGTTGCAAATGGATCTTCAAAAAGAAGATGAAGGTAGATGGAACTATAGATAAGTTCAAAGCACGTTTGGTAATACAAGGGTTTAAACAAAAACCAGGTATTGATTATTTTGACACATATGCACCAGTGGCTCGGATATCTACCATTAGATTGTTGGTTGGTTTGGCAGCCATCCACAATCTGGTTGTCCATCAAATGGATGTCAAAACAGCCTTCTTAAATGGAGAGCTTGATGAGGAAATTTACATGAACCAACCAGAAGGTTTTGTTATGCCCGGTAATGAGCATAAAGTGTGTAAACTTGTCAAATCCTTGTATGGTCTGAAACAAGCACCAAAACAATGGCATCAAAAGTTTGATGAAGTTATTTTATCAAGTGGTTTTAAGCTAAACCAATCTGATAAATGTGTTTACAGTCGGTTTGATTCAACCGGGTGTGGTGTGATAATTTGCCTATATGTTGATGACATGCTGATTTTTGGCACTGATCAACTTCAAGTTGATGAAACGAAAAGTTTATTGTCATCAAGGTTTTCCATGAAAGATATGGGGGAGGCTGATGTAATCCTTGGTATTAGGATTAAGCGGTTGAACAAAGGAATTGCTATGACGCAAGCACACTATGTTGAGAAAATTCTCAAGAAATTTAATTATAGTGAATGTTCTCCCGTGAGTACTCCCATGGACCCTAGTGTCAAATTAATGCCAAACAAAGGCAAGGCAATATCACAATTAGAATACTCTCAAGCTATAGGATGCTTGATGTATGCCATGACAAGCACTCGTCCGGATATCGCCTACGCGGTTGGGAGGTTGAGTCGGTATACTAGCAATCCTAGTACTCAACATTGGCAAGCAATTCAGAGAGTATTCAAATACTTAAAAGGAACCATGGATTATGGAATATGTTATCTTGGATATCCCTCGATTCTAGAAGGATATACTGATGCAAGCTGGATAAATCACCTAGAAGATCATTCTTCTACAAGTGGTTGGGTATTCTTGCTTGGGGGAGGTGCCATTTCTTGGGCCTCTAAGAAGCAAACTTGCATTACAAATTCAACAATGGAGTCTGAATTTGTTGCTTTAGCTGCTGCCGGTAAAGAGGCAGAATGGCTAAGGGATTTGGTTTTTGAGATTCCATTATGGACAAAGCCAATTGCACCCATTTCTATTCGTTGTGATAGTGCTGCCACGTTGGCTAAGGCCTATAGCCAAGTGTATAATGGGAAGTCTAGACACTTAGGTGTTAGACACAGTATGATTAGGGACTTAATCATGAAGGGTGTAATTTCTGTTGAGTATGTGAAATCACAACAGAATTTGGCGGATCATTTAACTAAAGGTCTGGCCAGGGACTTAGTGCACAAGTCTGCGATTGGGATGGGTTTAAAGTCCATTTAATTCCATAATGATGAGACACCCAATTCCCCTCTAATATAATATTAGAGGTTGAATTCAATGAGGAAAGCTCATACTTAAGGAATGGAACACATGCATTTTGTCATCCCAGGTTAGTGTGTTCGGACCTGTAGTAAAAGGGTTGAATATATATTCTTAATAATTCCTTTGTTAAAATGTAAGCAGGTACATGATTAAAGGAATTACCTATATGATCGTGAAGTGTAGCTGCACTTCGAAAAGTTGGGACTTGACTTTTATACGATTATGAATGGATTGGGACACTCGGCTTAATAATAGTGTCAAAGTTTTGAACTAGTTGTTTATTTGAACTTATGTGTATGTTATCTTCATGTATTCAAATGGGTTGAAGGGTTCAATTCTTAGAACACCCTGATTCTCGAGTATTTGGAATGTGTAATGTACTAATATGAAAATTCAATCGTTTCGATATTTTCATGTATGCATAAGTTTGGTTGTCTCTTATTCTTGTTTATGTAGATTCATGGTTACACTAAAATGGGGGAGGATTGTTGGTGATTTTAGTATCACCAGGTTCATTTTAGTGTAATGGAATTTACAGATTACCAATGGAGTTCAAGTTTAATTTTAGACAAGTTAGGAGGTGCGGAGCGCACACTTGTACGAAATTAAATTTAAACTTGGTTCGATTAAATGGCGGGGGTCAAGGGGGCTGCGCCCCCTTGCGGGGTCCAAGGGGCAGCGCCCCTGGCGGGGTCCAAAGGGCAGCGCCCCTGGCGGGGTCGAGGGAGGCCGCCCTCGCGGGGTTCGGGGCAGCGCCCCGGACCAAAATTTTATTTTATTAAAGAAATAAATATGGAAATTTATTTTCGGATAAACATGTCCATATTAATTATTTAATAGAATGATTTTCTGTTAGAGTAAAACTCTAACCGATTGGCCTTATCTCTTTGGTAATCAGAAGAATTCGAGTTCTACTAAAACTGCTAGTTCGTGGTCTATATATTGGTGCCTCAGTTTTAGACTGTCTCTTAGAGTGATTATCCCCATAATCTAAATTTCGTGTAACCCAGGCATAGGGTCGAAATATTAGATTCGGAAAGTGATCACACGATACTCTGAGAAATCCGCCAGATTTTCTAAAACAGTTTCCCAACTCCCCAGTTCTAACATTTCGTCGGGCCTCTTGTTTGATGGGGGTTTTGCTTTCCCTTGCCTTTGTAAGAGCTACTACTCTGTTTGTTTCCCGACTAGGTCCATTAAAACGACCAATACCACGACCACGTTTGAAATGTCCACGAGCACCACTATGGGTTGCATTTGATTCATGTTTTGAACCATGATTTTGTGGACCAAAACTAAAAGGGCTACAACCCGTGGGTCTCATATTGTGGTTTCTCATCAAAATGTCATTATTCGTCTCAGCAAGTAGTAATACTGATATTAAATCAGAATACTTTTGAAAGTGTTTTTGTCTATATTGCTCTTGTAAAAGCATATTTGAAAGATGCATAGTGGATAGAGTTTTTTCCAACATTTCGGCATCAGTGACTTTTTGTTCGCATAACTTCAATTTTGATGTTATTTGGAACAAGGCAGAATTGTAGTCACTTATAGATTTGTAATCCTGGAATCGTAAATTGATCCAGTCATATTGAGCTTTTGGTAAAAGGACCTTTTGTTGATGGACATACCTTTCTTGAAGATTATCACATAATTCTTTAGGGTCATCTACCAATAAATACTCAGACTTCAAACTTTCGTGAAGATGGTGACGAAGAAAGATAATGGCTTTTGCCTTATTTTGGGGAGTAGCTGAATTATTTTCAGCAATTGTGTTTTCGAGGGCATTTGCTTTTAAATGTACCAAAGCGTCAACTTTTCATTCCAAGTACTTTTGACCAGATAAATCAAGGACGTCGAACTCTCTTTTGCTAATATTAGCCATGGATGAACTACACCATAATTAATTTAAAATTAATTAGTTAATGGTTTGCATAGATAATACGATCAGATATACGTAATATGTTTATATAATAAACACTATATTAATAACTACTACGTACGATAATAATAATTATATGCATCACGTTTACACATGTATAAATAACTGTAATAGTCCGTGACTTAACTTATATACTTAGATAAGCCCATGCCTAATACGAATAAAAGAACAAACAAACTGTCGTGAGGCACTAGAGGCATACATTAACTAATGATTATGTATATTCATAATATAAAAAAATTGTATAGAAAATTTAGTTTACTACTCCGTATTAGTTATCAATAGTATGAAATCTTAGTTAATGTTTTCACACAAATTAGATAGATGCCTCATGTCACGGAATCAATTATAATTAGACAGTAGAAATATCTTCTGATATACGTAGTACATAGTATCATTATTAGAGCTCAATAATAATATGATAGTCTTGACAAAGATAATAATAGCTTTTATTTTACTATTATTATTATTATTATTATTTTGTAAGTACATATGAAGTACTATATGTTATTCTGCATCCGTATTATTTGTGTAGTCCATTTTTTTTAAACAATCAACTTGAACATAAAGGGGTGCATGATTTTATTACTCCCTATTAACTACGTGTGTAGTACTACGTATAGTTACGTACTATATGTATCACATTTATGAAGGTAGGCCTCTAAATTATTTTCTTGCTGCATTTTAATTCAAAGCCAACTAATAATGTCTGCAACTTGAACCCACATTAGACAATTCAAAAAATGGCAGAAAAAATCACATGCCATACATACATCTGTAGTTCACATTTATAGACCTATTTGTAAAGAAATGTTCAGTAGTTCATATACGTACTTTGCCCAATATTTGTTTATCAATCTCCTTTTCTCACTTTGAGCATGTATGAAGCATAGAGGAAGATTTACGGCCATAGTTTTATCGAAGCTCCATGAAAAAGAAAAAATTGCCGACATGCTTATTGTCAAGCACAAGTGATGGTTTTTTTTTTTAAGAAGAGTAGATTTTATTTCAAGAACATATTACGGAGTACTGTAAAGGCTAAACGTAAGTCCTTCTTCTATCTTCTTCAATTTCTTTTATACAAAATATATCTATAATTTTCTGATATGGAGGATCCCAACGGTTGAGCAACCATAGAGCATACTTCTTATAGTTTTGAATATATCTATACATGTTTATATTTCTCATCCTCTGATTTTTTTTCATATAAGTTGATAAATTCGTAGAAATATATACCTGCTGGGAAGATGATGATATCAGGGATTTGGAGCAAATTCGTGCTGATAACGTGTTATAATATGAAAGGAAATGAGCAGAAGATCAGGGAGAGAAAGTATAGTAGAACACTTAGTGATAGAGGTGTATTAGAGAGTGTGATAATGGTGTAATGAAGGTGTATTGATTACAATGGAGAAGACTCCTATTTATAGGAGAAAAGCTAAGCTTATTAGGATTAGAGGATAATTGTGAACCACACAATTATCATCTAGAATCATAATTATGATTTCCTAATTATTTATACAATGGTGATAATAATTCCTAATCAGGAATAGTTGGAAGATGACTAATTCAAGATATTTCAACAAATTCATAGAATTAATAATCAGGTGTACAATAATGGATTATCTTTCAAGTATTGTATTATCCCTACAATAACGAAGTTAAATGTTGGAAAATTCATTTTTAATAAATAGTGCTATTTATAAATGTGATGTTGTTCCAATTAAAGCTAAATTTTACAGAGTATAAGATGATGCATTTGTCCTTTTAACATTGGTATAAGAAGAGGTGACGCGGTTATCAAGTAATGTAATTTATGCAATGTGTATTGAATTGATAAAGTAAGAATACAATAAAAACGATTAAAACTACACAAACATTACCAAATTTGATATGAGACAATCTCAATGGACAAGCTAAAAGGGAAAGATAAAACAATCTTATCGGGAAGGATGAAGTACTTGATACTACTGAAGTTTCAATTGTAAAAAATTGGATGATGACTTATTTGGACATAAAAGACAAGTAGAATTGAAAGGATTGAAATGTCCTCAACATACATACTAAAAATCCTTATTATGTCATCCTTCATTAGCAATCCATTTGCACCTCTTCTCTCACATCAACCTTACCTCATCACCCTAGGTTTCCCACAATGATGATGATGATGACATTGTTGAGGATGAGGTTGGTGGGGTAGTGGTGGGACTGATGGGACAATGAAGGGGATGTTGGGATCGTAACAGAATGGGTGGAGAAGTGACAAGGCTGATGGGGGTAGTGAAGAGGATGTTGGGTTCGTAACAGGATTGATGGGCAATGCCGGTGGGGGTGGCGAGGCTAGTGGGACAGTGGCAAAAGATATTGGTAGTTTAGGACAATGATGGGGCTGGTAGGGAAATGGTGAGGCGGTGGGGTTGTGACAGGGCTTATGGGCTAGGTGAGGCGGTGGCGTTGTGACTCGCAACGACAGATCATCAAGGTCATGGACTCATTGGTGAAGGCAGCCAAGCAAGTCACTAAAGGTGGCATGACCAATGGTGACGCATGTCGTTGAGGGGTCCTGGGAACTGGATCATCAAAGGTTAGTGGGTTACTCGATCGGTGGTGACGTTGATCACTTGTAGGTTACTCGAACTGAAAAGGAAAAAATGAAGATATTTCCGGGACAGAGGGAGTATTTACAAGTAAATTTGTTTCACACAAACAGTAGTTATTGCCTACAGGCACGGAAACTATTGTTCACAAAGATTATTGTCTGAGCTGACAATTTAAAGACTTTCCAGATACTCCGTATATTTTTTCACACATTGACCTAATTTTTCAAACATTTGCACCTAAAATCAGCTATGTGAAGGCTGCTTACTGCCTGCTCTTATCGGCCAAACTGCCAAAGGACGTGCTCCAGTTAAGAAGGAACTACTTACCAAGTTACTCCGTATTGTTTTGAGTGAGATGAGCAGGTATATAAATAACAAAAGTGGAGTGGTGTTACTGGTTTATTCATTATTACTAAGTATTTAATTAAGAGTAAAAATTGCTTCATCCCTCTGACTAATAAAGGTTAGAAGGGTGTTTATAGGTACTAAACATGGATATATGGGTTTTTGCAGATGCAATCTAAAGTGTTTTACTCTTAGATAACAGCACTGTATACTAACTATATCAATAAAAGCACAACCTAGCAAACCCTATAAAGTACTCGTATAAAGTATTGAAACTGTACAGGATGCAGTAACAATTAATCAGGGAGGTGTATGAACTATATAGTGGCCTTGCACGAAGCCTTGTTATGTCCAGGTTCCTTGCACTTGCTGCATATAACCGTCCTCCTATTCGAGTCTAGTATCTTGGGGGTCTCTTCTTTTTGTTGAGCTGGAAACCGAGGAGTAAGAGGGGGATGCACATCTGCACTCTCATAATCAACTTCATCCTCAACCGGTCTCCCAATACCAGAAATAGGGTTTATGAGCTCAGAATACGCTGAACGGAAGCTTTCAACTGTGAACCAATGTGGGCAATAGTCATACACACTTTTGGAAGTTGAGAGGAAAACAGCGACAGCATGGCAACAAGGGAGCCCGCTGAATTTCCACTCCAAGCATGTGCAGTGCAGGTTTTCAATGTTGACCACGTGTGTTAAGTCATCATGAACCTCAAAAACCACTTCAGATGAGAACAAAACATTCAAACTGCGTGCCTTCACAGCTTTTTCTACTAGCTGTTTCTCTTTTGATGGAGCAAGTCTGGTGGAGCAATTCCTGGCCTCTTCCCTACGATGATTCATCGTGTTGGTCAACTTACTTACCAGAGCTTCAATCTTCTGCATCACAGTTGATCCCCGCATGTCATCAATCACTTTAGAGTATTCCTCTGCAGGGTTCTGTATGATATGATTATATGGTACGCCCTTAAATAACAAAGTTGTCCAATGTGCAGGATCGATCTGGATGACCCAGTCATAAGTGGTGGAGGAAACATGTTTGATTTGCTCAGTGAGGCTACTGAAAGCCTCTAGACGGACAGCATGGGAAGCAGCCAGGAAAACAGCAGGTATGACTCCTCGGCCATCACCTTGAAACGGGCCCTTCATGTTTTTCTTTAAGCTCTCCATGAGATGAAAAATTGAATAGCCATGATAACTGTTCTCAAACACATCGCGCACATGCTTCTCTATACTCTTCTCTCGATCCGAAATGAAAGTCACTGCAGGTTGTTGCGAAGTTGAAATTGCAGATTTCAGTTGCTCCAAGAACCACTGCCATCTATCACCATTTTCAATATCGACTATGGCAAAAGCAACAGGAAAGAACCCATCATCTGCATCAACAGCATTTGCAGTCAACAGCATCTCTTTGTACTTTGACCTCAGAGACGAAGCTTCTAGAAAAATGAGTGGCCGGCATCCGTTTGTGAAGCCATTCACAGCCACGCTGAATGAGAAGAAAAGGTGTTTGAACCTTTTGTCCTCATCACTAATCACAAGCTTAGTGACACTTCCTGGGTTTGATTCCATTAATTTTTTGCAAAACCAAGGCAACCGACTGTAGGACTTCCTATAAGAACCCTGAAGTTGCTCTTTTGCATCCTTGATTCCTCGCCAAACTTGTGAATACTTCAGTTTAATTCCAAAGTCGTGCAATATGGCTTTAGCAACATCCCTTGGCTTTTCATTGGGAGAATCCCGTATTTTTTCTTTGATGATGCTCACCAACCAATTTTTACCAGGATGGGCAGACTTCCAAGATTCCCCGCCACATGTATGTTCATCATTAAACTTTCTGATCCTGAATGTTTGATCAGCATGAACCCAAGATGCGTGAATCCTCCAAGAACAGCCTTCAATGAGACATCTACCACTTGCACGGTTAGTGTCATTCTTCTTTAATCTGTACACAAATCGATTTGCAATGGCATACTTGTGCAATGTCTCTCGGAACTCCTTAACACTTTTAAAATCCTGACCAACACCATTAATGCCTTCCTTCCATGATGCGACTAGCTTTTCTGGCAAATCTTCATCACCATTCAGATCCCCAAGTTCATCTACTACAATAACATTAGTTAAAGCCCCCCTATCCTTGTTTTTCTTGGATGAGCTTTTCTTCCCAGAAGCAACCTCTGCTTTGTTTGAGCCACTAGTACGCCTCCTCTTCTTGACCCTTTCAGCAGGTGTACCACAATCATCAAAGCCAAAATCTCTATCTACTTTTGCACCAGATGTAGCCACTGAAGCGTAATCTGAAGCTTCACCAGAACCATGGTATGAAGACCAGGTACGGGATTCACTGTCGGAATTATCTTCTCTTGAAGCCACCAGAGAGTCGGCAGAAGCAAGGATGGACAACAGTTTCTGACAAGCACTACTCTTCATAGCCTTCTTAGAACTGACTAAAGGCTGTGGTGCATAATTTATAGCTACCTCAAAATAATTGTCCGTGGCAGCAGGTTCTGCAGGAGAACCATTATGATTGACACTCTCAGCCAGTTTTACGCTGGGTACCCTGAGAAGCTAACAACTTCTAATACGAAGTTTGTAATGAAAAGGTGGGGGTAAAGATGAAATTATGCTGTAGGAATTAAAAAACAAAAATACCTGTTTGTGAAAGCGCCAGGGACACCGAGATCAAACCCTGAATTCCCACTGACGAAGATATCCGCAGTGACAGAGCTGGCATGAAAGTCGAGCATTCTTTTGAGGTCCCTGTCGGTCTTCAAGTTAATCAAAGTCCGGTTGTTTCCAGGGAGGAAATACTTGACTGAGACAGAGTTGAGGTCAAAATCGCACACCTCGGCGAGCTTAATCTTTAGGTCATCGAACACAGTCTCTTGCGTGATGTTCATCGCATTCGCCTCGCCACCGGCGTAGGTCAGACTCCCGTCGCTGCTAGTGACAAAGCTGCCGCCGGACTGGCAGATTAGTATCAGCTTCCCGTTCACCATAGCATCCACCAATCCTTTTAAAATTTGGAAAAGGTGATAATCAACATTTGCTGTAAACCCACACACACAAATACACTGTATAAATCAAGCTTTGACTGCAAAGATGGAACTGGAATTCTTATCGGTAAGGAGAATTGAAGAAAGGAGGTGTGGAAGGAGGAGAAAACCCTACAAACGGGCGAGTTTTGATATTTGGAAGAAAAAAGGACGAGGGAATCAGGTAATGAAAATTTGGGGAGAGAAAAAAGTACTTCCAAGGGAAGGGATCTGGTCATGAATATATATTGGGGGCGATTTTAGAAATTCCACTAAAAGCAGGACCTAGATATAATACCAAGTACTCCTAGTAGAATGCGGAAATGTGAAACTTATCACGCACGCGACCCGAGATCTAGAAAGTGTGATCATACCAAGCTCGACTTCGATCGCATGCAGGCTTTGACCCGCATTGTATCTTTAAAATGATCTGGACTCGTGTATGAGATAATTCGATTTTGACGGAGTTATAATGTGTTTTAGGATAAGCATAGGTGTTTGGATCCGCTTCTGACAACACCTTATGCTCTCCGAGCAGAAGCATATATTAGAGTGTTTCGATGAGAGTGAAGAAGTCTTTTAAGTGCTGTAAATTACTCTTAGAAATAGTTTTTTAGATGTTGCGAGAGACCAGTTTTTGAAAAACTGTTTCTGATTTTGTTTTTAAAAAAGTAACACAAGCAGATTTAGTTCTAAACACTTCCGTACTAGTATAAGATTGTAGAAATCTAGTTGAGTTGAATAACGACAAACTAATAGTAGTGCTCGTATTCTTGCTAGAGCATCTACTAGTTATACTTCTTGCATAGAGTTTGACCTATTCCTTATTTCCTTATTCATTATTGTATTCAGAACATTATGATTGATTAAATAAATTAAGATTGAAAATTGGAAACCGTGATAAAATAAATATAAAACACATATACATCTCTGAGACCGGTTAAGACCATATTAGTTTGACCAAAAACATCAATCAAATTATAAACATGCTTATGGTATTCGATATAAATAAACATGCTAGAGTATATGGGAATTTGGATCCTCTCCATTAACTGGAGAGTTCCATTATGAGAGAGATAAAGAGGAGAAAATTAAGAGTGATGTATGTTGGTGAATAAGATAGAGGAAAAGGTAGAGACAAATAGGAAGTAAAAAGGAAATGGAGGGAAAATGGAGAGAAAGAAATGGAGAGGAGTTGCACCAAGTATATGGGCTCCGGTCCACATACTCTAGCACATATAACACGGCCCAAATATACACCGGCACCAGAAGGCCCAGTGAGGGGACCCAGTCCAGAATGAAGAGGCGGACTTTCAGTCCGTACCCCCACCTCGGAGGGAAGCACCTTGGTACCTGGCCAACCAGGTCTTACCTGAGGACTTCCACCTTCAAGACTGAGGTGCACCCATGCGGGTTAGAACACATGTAAACAGCCCATTAGCGGCCCATTATTGTAATCGAGCCTCCCAGGCCCAAGACGTGGGAGGCCAACCCATATTACCTCTATAAATACCTCCCTTGGAGATAGTTGTAAGGGATTCACAACTCATTTATCGCAAGTTCTTTCTCTCTCTATATCTTAGTTCTCCCTTCTCTCTAGCCCTTCGACTTAACCGGGAAGCTATCAGGTATATTTGGTCCCGGTAGCTGGTGCCTGATAGTTTGGTACGGTAACGCCGCTACTTCTCAAAAAGGAAATCAATTTTGTTCACCGCTTACATCACCCCATCCTAGTTGCCTTCCATGTCACCGGATCAACTCTTTATTAATTATTTCACAGTTGTTTAAAATTTTTTATTTTTATTCCAATTTACAAAATATATCAATCATTTTTTTATAATCTTTTTTATGGTACCAACATTGCATATTAAAAATTAATATAAAAAATTTTCAACTAAAAATAATAATTTAGAAAAAAGATTTTTTAAAAATAGAAATTCACACACTTGGTTGTCCAAATTGAACAAGAATAGACAAGGATTGTGGGGATGCGAATGGCCATGGAGGGTAGGGGTGGACTGGGCCCGAGCGGCCTGACCCGGGACCGGTACAGTTTAGGCTTGGCCTGGTCTGGGATCCCGACCATGGGTAGAACAGTTTCGGCTTCAGGCTTGATTTTTTGAGCCCGGTCCGAGCCCAACGCATTTAAAAAAAAAAACTATTTAAATGATGGGAACTGATCCGGGCCCGGTACCGGAGCATACTGGTCGATATGAAGCTTCACTTTTCAAGAACCAATACCGCCAGGGCCCGGCCCAGCATGACCCGGGTCCATCGTAAAATACACAATCGTATTATATGCACTGTAAATTATTGTACTTAGGGTTGTACCGGTTCCGGGCCGGCCGTGATCGGGCTTTTGTTGGGGGAAGTGAGGCTAGAACTGGCCCGGGTAGCCAGCGGTTCTGGGCCGGGCCGGGCCGATTCATTATTTTTGCTTTTCTAATTAACCCCCCAAACCCTTGCAAAACACCCAGCCCTACTCGGGAAAAACAAAAAAAAATTGAAAAAAACAAAAATGGCCCGGGCCGATTCACTATAATGAAAGCCCGTACCCGACCCGCCTCAATCCCCGGGCCTGGGGGTGGACCCAACCGGTTCGGTCCAGCCCGAAACTGGCCCGACCCGCCACTGTGCAGGCCTGGACCGGTCCGATTGGTGCTAACTGGGCCTGGGCTTTTACCCGGTTGGGGAGGGTTGGGCGGGCCGGGCTCAGGCCCTGTATTTGTTGAACCGGCCTGGGCGGTTCAGGCCGGGCCCAAGCTTTTTTTATTTTTTTTTTGGTTTTTTCAATTTTTTTTGGTTTTCTTGGTTAGCGTTGGGTGTTTTGGGGGGGTTTGGGGTGGGTGAAGGAGGGAGTCGGGGGTTAATTAGAAAGCAAAAAAAAATTACCTTGACCCGGGCCCGACCCGGTTAGGCCCGGACCCGGTATCAACCCGGGCCGGTTCCGGGCCCAACGATTTGAAAAAAAAAAACGCCCGGGCCCGGCCCGGGTCCATCCCTACCCGGGGCGGGCCGGTTCACGGGCCGGGCAACCGGGCCAGTTCCATCCCTAACTGTACTTATAGATGACACCGAGTACTTCGAAAATCAGTTTGCTTACATGACACCTTATTTTCTTATTTTTGGATTTACCTTGAAAATTATAAAGGGGATTGACTCGTGATTAATGCTTTGATTTTTTTGAAAAGTGATAGCTTAATGCCCCAAATCTTTTGGGAACAAGGCTTGTGATAACTTTTTAATGATTTTATGATTTATATGAATTAATAAAAATGAATTTGAACAGCTATTACAGTAATTGTATTGATTTTGAGCTAATATTTTGTTATATTAATATTTTCTTTCCTTCCAAGTGTCTCATGTATTCTTAATTTCTTATCCCTATTTCTTTCCCTGCAACTTTTTGCTACCCCTAGAGAAAAGGACAGAACTTAGGGGTGGATTCGGTTCGAGCCACCCGGCCCGTGACCTGGCCTGGCCCGCTACTATGCGGGCCCGGGACCGACCCGGTCTGGCGGTCCGGGACCGGGTGTAGACCCGAACCGGGGGGTTAGAGCGGGGCGGGCTCGGTTCCGAAAAATGTTGACCCAGTCCGGCCGGGTCGGGCCCGGGCCCGGGTCCAATAGTCAGATTTTAAAAAAAAATGTTTTGGACTTTTGGGCCAAACTAGCCGTTGGGGGGTGGGCTGGGGACTACCCAAACGGCTATATAGTCGTTGGGTGGGCTGCAGGGGGGTCCGGGCGGTTTGGGGGGTGGGGTAAAAAAAAAACTATAAATACTCTTAATCTTGAACATTTTTTCATATCTCTTCTCCAACTCTTCCTAAATCCTACTCTTTACTCTCTACTCTCTAATTATCTTCATCTTCTCAAATTCTCTTATTCTCCAATATATTATATATCTACTTTATATTAATGATCTACTTATAATTTATAAATACATACATTATATTACTTATATTTCTTATCTAATTATATACTACCTCCGTCCCATTAGAAGGTTTTCATCCACTATTCACAATTTCACATGGTCAACTTAAATCATTTTTAATCTTTTACTTTATAAATCAAATTTTTATCAAATTTACATTTTTTTATCAGGCTTTGTAGCGGTTTTAAACTTTAATGTAGTTTCTGAATATGTTAATTTTATTTACTAAAAATAATCAAAGAGTGAACAGAGATTAAATTGTTTTATCGCCAGTCAAGCATCGTAAACCGTCAACGGGAACCTTCTAGGCTCTAACGGGACGGAGGGAGTATTACTCTTACATTTATTATATCTATTAATATAGTTAGAATTATATCTAATTAATTCGAAATCATTCTATTACTCCCATCCGAATGACTGAAAGTCCGAAAGAGGTACGAAATCATTCTATTATTTACACTTGTTTAATTACTTTATTACAATTTTTATTAATTGCTACCTTTGACTCTAGTTTAAAAAACTAGTTAATTCTCATTATAGTTAAAGTTAAACTATATTAATTTGATTGTTAGTAAAAAATAGGTAGTACAGACCTCGGGCCGGTCCCGGGCCCATCACTTACAAACTGGCGGCCTGTCAGTATTATAGAAACCCCCCAAACACGTTCTCAAACATTTGACTTTACATGGGATATTATAGGCTCGACATAAAGTTCTGAGAATTCTGTGGAGGAGATATTGTATGACTTATTGACTTTACACAAAACAATGAAAAAAGCAAAACAAAAATCAAGTTTCAATGAATGGTTATGAGGAGAGCACATATGAACATACGACTCCATAGTAGAGTCATCTGTAGCTTCGGGGTGTTCCCTGCAGGATGAGGGACACCGTTTTATGAAGAGTTATTATATCTACATCAAACATTAAGCACTTGCCAAAACAAAACAATCAAACAAAAACAAAATTTAAAATAGAACTTGCGGATAATAATCTACATATACCATTCCAACAGCATCAAGAAATCAAATCTCGTCAATGCATCATATTGTAACTCAAAAGAAGCCAACCGAACTTTAAAATGCATTATGCAACATCCTACAGGTCACAATCTATTCAGACAAGGCAATGGTACAGTATCTTTCGGGGTTTGCTCCCTGACCTGCCAGTAGTTTCAAAACAGCAGAAGAGCAGGACCAGGCAGAAATACGCATGTTGCAGCTATCGATGTAAGACAATTGAATCACAAGAAATAGGGAACTCCTGTTCTGGGTCCTCTCATCTGGTTGTTTTCTTCTGTTTCGGTGAAGAACTTCACTTCTCGCTCCTGATTAAAAAAAACATCAGAGGAATGCCACAATAGACGGTCCTATCTTAAAGACAATAAGCTTCTACAACTAACAACAATGACACACACACATTGTAGAAATCATTCATTAAAACAGTTTCGCAATGCTTCAGTTATTTGCAACTCCCTCCGCCCTCTCTCCCAACATCTCATTATCTTTCTACAATAAAAAATGGCAGTCCCAATATAAATAGGAAGTCTGTTCACTATATAACACACTTATCCATCCTCACTGCAACTGAAAACAGATTGACTAACAAATTTATTGAGCATATATACTGTCATCGCATTTCACATTCCAACTCCAGGATGTTGTGGTATGGTAAAACAGTAAAATAAGCCAGAGAATGGATTAGTTGTAAAACCACAAAACATGTGATTAGTACCAGCCATACCTGATACAAGTAGTTACAAAATGGACACAGAAAATATTTGCGATAAGATCAAACGTGAAAGAAAATGAAAAGAACATTTTTCCGAGAAGCGATGTTTGACCCCACAATGTGCTTGTTACGAAAGAGACTAGGTTGATCATATAATAATGCAGAACGAAAGTCGAGCCCCTGAACAGGTAAATGTTCATTACAGTTCACTTCCGAAACACAGAGAGTAAGTACCATGTTGTCATTGAAGCTCAATATGGAAGCTACATTTCCACACCTATAGCAGTAATTAGGGGCTGACCAAACCTGCATGGAACAAAATAGAATAAGATATTGACTACACAATGAAGTATGAATGTCATCACCTATAAAGGTAAACCAAAGTAGAAAGGAAAACCCACGGTCACAAGTCCTTTATCCTGAAACATGTACTTCAAACCTTCCTGGACAAGTTGGTGAGCCCGACAGACAAGATCTAGTTTGTTGATATGATTAAACTGCACATGAATAAACAATAGTACTTTCAGAATAAGGGGGGTGTGAGTATGTAAGCCGCTTTATTGTGTATCACAATGTGTCATACCTCAGATGTAACCCTGGATCCAAAAAGCCATCCTGCTCCTCGAGGGCTGACTGCCCATGTTTCAATATCTTCAGGATCACTCCACATGAGATCACAAAAGGAACCCTCATGGGGTATCTCACAATTACGTTCAATGATCCTGATCTGCAACATAAAACAAAATCATAGCGTGTACAAATTGAACAGATGAAGTACGATAAAGAATCATACACAACTTGTGGCACATTAAACATCTAGTGACCAAAAAACTCAACAAATGATTTCTTGAACAACATTGCATCTGTTTCTATCACAAATAAACAAAAGTTCCAAGAAATTTATATTTTATTGTCTCAAGTGATGCCAGAGTGCATGTCTGCATCATTTGTAAGAGTAAATTATTGCCTTCATTTCACGGTTATATAGATGTCTCATAATCTTTATCCCATTAAGGTATAAAAATGCATCAGTCCAAGATGCGTGAAAAAAAACAACTAATCCAGCAAGCTGAAATGTTAAATACATGAAAATATTACATAACATACCTGGTCAATAGTTCTAACATCAGGAGAAAGACCACCATGGACACATAACACCTGAAATTAAAGGGAAAACGCAGTTTATCATACATGCACTGATAAATAGATAGATACTAGGAGCCACACATCATCCATGAAATATTAAGAAACGGCTGCAAGTGCAGAGAACAAGTGTTTGCACATACTGTTCCATCTATAATTGCCGACAAAGTAAGATAGTCAAACACATCAGTGCAGTACCGCCAAGCATTGGCATTTCCGTATTTCCGTTGGCATTCATCATAGAAACCATAAACCTATTCAAAAGGAAAAATGGAGACAATGTTATCTTTTCTTAAAACGGGGCTTAAAACAGCAATATGAAAGATACAACACTGGCACATATATTACATGACCAACTTTGTAAGCAAAGTACACATAGAATTTATTGTACCACACGAATCAATGGATAACCTACAGCTTGATGTATGCCTTGAGGCTCGAACAACTAGAACTTAAATAAGCTGACACTTAAATAGGTCTTGATGCAACATTAAAGAACAAGTATCAGCCAACAAAAAGTCACTGTTATAGTGAGGGTTCCCAATTGTAATTAAAGAAGCAATATGCCATGTGTATTCATATCAACAAGTGTAATATAACACATTGTAGTTCAATAGCAGACACTCGAGGCACAAGACAGGAATGAAAAAAATCTTGAAAACAACTTTGAAGGTTCTATGGAAAATGTCATTTTGGATATGGATGTATGTACAAAGGTGCATATCTGAAGTTTCCATGGGGAACATCTCTTTTTGGCATGGACGTGAAGTAAATTGGCAAGAAATTCACTTATCATAGCTACAGCCTCGTGGTAAATACTCCAATAAAAGGGAATGATAGATTGCAAACCTATCGAATCTTGACATAATAATGTTTCTATTGTCAAGGACTCAACGTCCTACTGGATTAGGTAAGGATTTTTCAGTAATGACAACTCAAGATACCTCAGAGGCTCAGAATACTATTCAATTGTTCTTATTTTCTAAAAAACATTGTCTTTCATGCATCTGGTTGTTGTGGCTTGCAAGAGAAAGAGAGATGCATTCCATTGAAAACTTATTCCAATTTCTCAAGTTCAGACAGTGTAGTTTAAAGGGATGAGTGGGAAGGGTGTTTTCTTTAATCCAATTGGTAATCCAGGGCAAGTGTGTGAGGTTGTACTCTTCCGTAATGCATAGAACACATAAATTTCACATAAATATCTATCCTGAACACAAAGTTGAATGACAAAAGGTCTACTACCTGTGTCAGCTGCCTGCTTTCGTGGTTTCCTCGAAGAAGAGTAATATGAGCTGGATATCTGGAAGTAAATGAAACCAGGATATTTATATAGATAAGGATGAGAAGTTTTTCCAACACAAATTCAAAATCCTAATCTTAGGCTCTTAGCAATAAACAAATACTGTATAAAGGTTGTAATTGCCTGAGTGAATGAGCCCCTAGTTAAATAAAGTTACCGAAGATCTGAGAATGAAATCATGAGAGTAGAAATAATTGAACTAAGGCAGATAAAGTGAACATCCACCCAATCCTTTCATTAGTATATTCATTTTTCTTGGACAAACTAAAAGTTCATTCATCATAGTGACCTAAACATAAACTAATCCATATCAATTGGTCAATCCTAAATAACAATAGCAGGTACCTATGATCAAGTTTGGTTACACTCCACCCAAGGCTAACAATTATTGAATTTCAATAGGGAGTAGACACATCTAAATTCAAAGTTCCTATTAGAGATGGCATTAGATGCATTCACGCGTCACTATAAAAGTTACCATGTAACCCCAATTATTTCCAGCTGGGGCTAGGCAGTCCTTGGCTGACTGTTTATCCCTGCTTAATTCCACTTAGATTAGGTTCCCCCGAACCCCAGTAATCACCGCCTAGATATTAGTGTGAAGTTACCTGGAGCCTAGAGCTTTTTACAACTTTGATTACAAGTTACAGGTGAACTTCTTGTTGATAGATGGCTAAAATAGAAGCATGCACTTAAGTAAATTGTTGAGGCAAATTTTAGTTATAGTCTATGAACATACCTTGCTTTAAGTAGTAAAAGAATCGTGAAAACTTCTAGACTATTATATCCACGGTCAACAAAATCTCCCTGTTTGGGGATTAGATATATAAAAACAAGTAAAAAATTGCGGCATCAATAATTTAAAACACAAAACGTTCTTATTAATGAGAAAATAGAATCACAGGAGGAGTACCATAAAAATATAATTCTTCTCTGGAACGTGACCTCCAGTCTGGAAGAGTTTCATTAGATCATGAAATTGGCCATGTATGTCACCACAAACAGTAACTGGGCTGTTAACAGGCTGAACATTTGACTCCTCAATTAAAATCTCTTTAACCTGGAACAAGAAGTGGAGGTTGTAATTTGTAAGCATACAAATCAAAACTCAAGTAAATCACATTAAAATGAACTTACATCTAACCAAAAAGTTAAACCTAAGCACACCCATCCTTGGAAGTTCCCAAGATGATAGCAAAGAGCATCACTTTCTACAGAAAATATCGTTGTATGAATTTACCCACTACATAGACTAGTATTTTGAAAATATTCATGTATTTCAAAAGTGAATACACAGCTAGGAAACTCTGCTCTCCATAGAAATTAGAATTGTATGATACATGCAATGCATATCCAGATGCACGGAAAATGGGGCTAGCAATACATACCACAGAATGAATTAAAATAATTATGAATAGCTGATGTATCACACATTCACACAATCACACCAAATAAAATGAATTGCGATACATGAATAGAGTTGCTCTATCCAGGGCTACGCTTTAAAGCCTCTTTTACCTACGTAAGCAATTTGAGACAAGGCCTCAAAAGGCCATGATAGAATCATAGAAGTCCTTCAGACCCCAAAAAGAGCTCTGTAAAAGTGAAATGGAGTTTGCCGCCTTCATTCATTAAATCACACCATCCTTCCATTTATCTCATTTCCAAGGTACTATTTTTTATTTTAAATCTTCATATTTGTCATTTGCACCTCATCTTCAACCTATCACAGTATCACACCCCATCTCTCTTTCACTTTCAGTTGAAGAAGATTTATAAATTGAGAAATCTATACTTTGCACTCTCTGTCGGGCATAGGCTCTTTTACCTCTTAACTCCATGCCCAAGTGAACATTTGAGCCTCAATTAAACTATATAGACTCTGAGTACTATGCATAAATGGTTTTATTTAATCGAATTGGGCAGAACACAGATTATTAACTCTTAATTTTATTGAGTGGTATGAACATTACATAGTTCTAGATTTAATACTCCTTATTTTGATTAATCCAAAATTATTTTTATAACTGCATGGATTTTTTTATATGTAGAACAAACAAGATGCTATTTTAAATAAGAGAAGAGACAACAGTCATCTTCTCACAGAAAAATGCAAAATTAGAGAAACTTTTCTACCCTATAAGATAGGAAGCATGTACAAAATTAGCAGTTTCATTCCATAGAACCATCTGTTAGTTGTGTCTATCATCATTTCTAAAGAATTAATGGAAAATTGTGTGATATGATTCATATGGACTCAAATTACCAATCCAGTAATCATTTGGGCCACTCAAAAAACTTTAACTTTAAAGTGTAAGATTTAATGACCCCCAAAACTATTTGAACAAACAAGAATCATTTAACCTGAAAAATAAATCAATGGCAGCTACTTTGATATAGCTAACTGCTTAACTAAAATATACCTTTAGTGATCATGTAACTTATGATTCATAATAAGATACTATTCCCGATTCCACCCTCAAACTGCTTCTACCTATTCTAATTATATGTAGAACAAACAAGATGCTATTTCAAAATAGGAAAAGAGAAAACAGTCTTCTTGAAACCCAAAAATGCAAAATTTGAGAAACTCTACTATCCTATAAGATAGGAAGCATGTACAAAATTTAGCAGTATCATTCCATAGACCCATAGGTCAGGTGTGTCTATCATTTCTAAAGAACTAAAGGAAACTTGTGTGATATGATTCGAATGGACTCGAACTACCAATCCAGTAATCATCTGGGTCACTTGAAATATCTTTAACTTTAAAATGTAAGACTTAATGATCCCCAAAACTAATTGAACACACAAGAATCATTCAACCTGAAATATATATTAATTTCAGCTACAGATAATTGAAATGTTAGGGTTTTAAACGCAAGATACGTACATATTCACACAAAAGCTGAAGCTCGTCCTCGGCCAAGTGCTGTCCCTCCTTCACCTTCACTATCCATTGGTCCAAATCCATTTTAGCAGAATGCCCCCTTTTACCTCTACGATCTCCGTCTGTGAGAAATATCGATCTTTAGGTCTCCCTTTCTCAATATCTGCCACTGGTGGAGTTTCGAGCGTGACTATTTCTCAAAGCCGCCGGAAGTGAACAGGAGAGAAGAGAGACCAGGAATTCTTGGAAGATCCGGCTCGTTGTTGCTTCGAATTTCTATAATTTCAGTGAAATAAACGAGTTGCATAAAAAGATTTTAAGTATTTTCTTTGCTAAAGGATACTGCGTTTTCTAGTTTTCTACTATATTTTCTAATTTTCTACTTTTGTTTATTTTCTATATATTTTTATTTTTGAATTATAGGATACTGTTATAAAATAATGTATTAAAATCTTACGATAGTTGGAGATAATAATAATTACGGAGTATTTAAAGGCAGTGACATTGGGGTGAAGCTGAATAGTGATAGGATTGATTCACTAATCTATACTAAAAAATATAAATACAAAACATGAGCATGTGTATTTTTTACTGATGTAACATATACCGATTTTGTACAGAATTTATAAGAGAGAATTCCTCAAATAGGAGTAAAACATAGGCAAAATGCAAAAATAGGAGTATCATGTTTTGAATAGGAGTAACTTTAGTGTTTGGACAAGTATACCCCTACCCAAGCCCCAACAACTTTTAATTAAATGTTTAATTCATAATAAATTCGAAAAAAATTCAAAAAATCGTAGAAAAATAATAAAAAAATTATAAAATATTAATAAAATAAAAAATTTAAAATTTCTTTTTTAAAATTTTTTAGTTTTTTTAAAAATAAAAAAAAAAATTGTAAAACTCCATAAAAAAATTAAAAAAAAAATGGATGTCTTTCCCACCGCCTGTACTACCTTCCGGCACCACCACCTCCGGGCCGTGAAAAAATTCCATTTTTCCTAAAAATTGACATTTTTTCTGAAAATGCCAAAAACATGGCATATTTCTCTTTGCGAATGCCAACATTTTCATTATTTTCTGCCATAAATATAGCATTCGTAATGAACTTGGCATTTTTTCCCCTGATGACTGGAGGTGGTGGTGCAGAGGCGGCAGAGGCGGCGGTGAATTTTATTTTATTTTTTTGAGATTTTTATTTTTTTGTAAAATAAATATATTTTTTTATTTTTTGAAAAATAAATAAATAAATAAATTATTATTATCGAATAAGTCATAAATTAACTAGGTTAAGATTAAATAAGTGATATTTTAGAATTAACTAGGTTAGGGATATTAAGGGTACAAAATTAATGTTTACTCCTATTGAAGGAAGTTTTAAGTTATACTCCTATTTATGCAATTATGTTTATGTTTACTCCTATATTGAGCAATTTCTAAATTTATAATTTTTAGAAAATAAAAATAAATTTGTATAACCCAATAAAACATGGTCCATTGATCAAGAATTTGTATATTAAAATTGAATTTTGATATACGAAAGTTCAGACAAGATATAAGCATCTACTATAGTATTAAATTTTTCAATATTTATTACACCTCTAACCTTATGGTGGTATAGTACCATTGATGTCACTTATAGCTCGTAATACTTGTTTTTTATAGTGGTGAAACAGCAATGTCGCCCAATAATTATGTGATAAGTAATATATAAAGAAACTCCCATATTTAAAATATGTATGAACTACATACTATTGTATTTAAGTACTAGGATGTTTTCTTTTGAATTGAAATTTGTTGGTCTGGTCTTATTTGGTAAATATTTGGTCTTGTGTATTTTATAACAGTTCAAGTCCGATTTGATCTGTTTAAGTGTTGTCTGGTCGCATTCGTTTTGGTCTAGATCTGAAAACAGTCCAAAAGAAAACATCTTTAGATCCTTGACTTGCATGTACAATAATGTATGAGACTATTTTTATTGGGCTTACTATTAAATTTGCAAATGCTCTAGTCCAAATACAACCCTCTTCTTCCAACCTCTGTTATGAGCAACATAATATAGCAATTCAAAACGAACTAAAAAAAACATCTCCTACCCAAACATAAGGAGGTAGCACACATATATGGTACATGTGACCATTGCATTACACGAGTACGTTTTTCATGACAATTTGCCCCTAACCCTCACTCATGCTTATAAGATTATAGAGATGTATGTGTTATCTCAAAAAGTACAAACTAGATGAGGAAAAAGTACTACATTAATTTTATCGATGATAATGTCATATTGTTTCGTACTTCCTCTTTCCCGAATTGAATTGCAATTTGCATATTTTAAGGTTGACTAATGATAAATCATTTTTGCAAATAGTTAAATCAGTTTTAATAATTAAAATTTACATATCCAGAAACTACATTGAAACTGTGTTGACCAAGAAAAGTTGACTATGTAAATCATTTTGGGACGGAGGGAGTACATCTTTTGAGACGTAGAAATGAGGCTAAAAAATCTTTGAACAATTACAAGAATGGGGTTTAAATTCGAAGTCTGATGTAGGGATATATTGCTCCCCTTGAATAACTTTGGCTTGACCTTAGAATAATTTTATCAAACTAGAGCTCCATACTCTTCTCAATCTGATAATGTATTCGAACGGAAAAACTCTTAGCACTTGAAGTCGTATCTCAACTCAAATTATCGCAATCTATCATGTAAGATTGAAAGATAACTTGGAGGATGTGTTTACTGAAGTTTTAACAATATATTAGGTAAGCTTTTTTACATACGAGATAGGATTGAAAACCATGAAATAGAAAATTTCATTATGATTTACTATCGTATAACTTAGTTTCATGACTAAGAACTTGGTTCAATCGGAAAATCAAGTTATGAATCTTGAGGTTGACACTCTCAACTTATTCACTCTCATTCTCACAATACAAGATTTTCGCTCACCAAACATGATGAGGATATAAAATGAATTTTTAATGATTCCTAAACACATATGTATGGAACATAAATGGTACAATGTCCTTCATAGGTTATTGTTTGTATATCCTATGCAATCATAACTGGTGAATGTGTGACGCTTTAAATGAAATCCTTTTGAAATCAAAGAAGATGGTCATCGGCAAAATGAGCACACCAATAACAACTAAAGGATGTGGGATGGTCATTCTATATGTGCATATCGGTGTCCCAGTTAACACAAACGTATGGGTAATTCAAGATATCGTAGCAAATATGATGATAATATGCTAAGGAAGGTTCAAAGTTAGAAGTTATCTCTCATGTTGCCCTGAATGTCCGTCGAAACTCTATTCGTGTTAAAATGTGCAATCACATTTAAGGACATCTCATTCATGTCAGGAATGATTAAAATTAGCATTTACAATAAGTTTGATGATATATTTAAGTAGTGTGATTTGTAAATGTGATAAATAAAGTATAAAGTATGTATTGGAGACTACATTCATTACCGATAAAGGTACTCATGTAGCATTTAAAGTTCTATCAACCAGTTCTGGTTAAAAAAGATATTAAGATTCATGTTAATAAAACTAAATATATTAAAGGAAATGTGTGTTGTATATGTAGATGTTCGTTCCATATTGAAAATATAACTACCTGAAGTAGTTAATCTGTGAGTTAAGGATGAAAATGTGTAAGAACCGCAAATTAGAAATAAAACCAATGCATGCAATTAGTAAATCACGATCCTTGACTTGGACTTGTGTACTAGGTTAATTTCAAAACAGGTTGTCAAAATTTATACTCCCTCCGTCTCTTAAAACTTTGTCATCTTTCCTTTTTGTAACGTCCCAAAAAACTTTGCCACTTTCCCTTTTAATCAATTATTTTGTGGTTTTTGTTATTTCTCTCTCCTCTGCACAAACCTCAACCACACAGTTTTTACTTTATTATTCTCCGTGCCGGTCAACTTTTGCAAAGTTTTAAGGGAAGGAGGTAGTATGTGTTATAGCCCGTAAAGAATCATCTCCTTCCACCCTATTATTTGTACCAAAGTATATAGCAATTTCAATAGAAGTGTACTTTAATCCACTCAAACACACATGATTTCTTTTTTGTCATAAAGGATGTGTGCATCCAATATTCCAATGGTCCACCACTCAACTCTTTATACAACTCTTTAAAGCAATATTCCCTAACCATAACTCTTGCCGATTTCCCTCTTCCATCTCAATTGAAAATCACAATATACTCTATTTCTTCAACACTTGCCTTTCTAGCAAGTAGCAAATGTATTAACACTCAAAAGAAGTTCAGTTTAGAGTTTCAAAGCCTCTTAAGTTTTTAAATTCTATGAGTTTGTTGAACTACTTCAAAGAAAAAGGGTCTTTTTTCTAAATCACACTAGAATATAAACTATGGACAAAAGGTGACTAAAGTTACTATGAGTACAATGTCATGGTTCTTGCAATGTAAAATTGATCATAATTAATCACCAAAAGTTATTAATATAGTCACCACTTATAAAATATCACATTTATATCTATCATCTCTATTTTAGTTATATATAAGTGATTATTTCATATTACATTGCACATACATTTAATACTATTATATCAGGGTTTATAGTAAAGGTTATTCTGTTTATACTATCCTACGTATCTCATTAATTGCAACATTGAAATATATACACTATTCATGTATTTTACTTTGACTACATTTTATTTATTAATGTATGTGAATTATTATTTTTTTGAAAAATGTTGTTAAATTCGTCTCATTACTAAGTTTTATAATCTAATTTTTATTTTATTTTTACTAATACAGAATTAAATATAATGACGGGCAAAGTTGCGCGTTGGCAAACGTGAAATGTTGACTGTTGCAACTAAAAAGAGACGAGGAAGTATAAACATAATATGTCATTCATCATTCTCCGTTTACTTCACTGTTATGTAAACAAGATACCATTCCACCGACCAAGAGGCATCAACAAATCTATCCTGCATATGATTATTTATACCCTTACTCATTCCACCGACAAATGCTGATATATTGTTAAGCTAGTTTATTAAGAACAAGATTTTAAAATACAAATAAAATAGGCAATATAATGCCACCATGCTGTGCTGAATGAGTGTAGGGTATGCAGTTGCATCATCAGCTGCACTGAATTTCAACTGCGAGTTTCTTGGTCACATTAGGGCACACTCCCACATTAAAATTTCTATTAGATAGTTCTACACCACACTCACTCTTGTTCAAGCAAACCTGCAAAACAACGGTGACAGCACTAAGATGTTACTATTAAAAAATAAAAGTAATAACATTTGTTGCTCGTTAAGCATCACTTGGATTACCCATAGAGCACACAATTGTTCTAACCAATTAATTCGCAATTTCATGTGCATATTATCCTATTGATAGCCTATCCTTTCAACCAAACCTGAAGCTGTATAGTCAACCTTGGGAGCATATCATAATTGTTCAGAAGTGGCCATTGGGAGGATAAAGCGGTGCCGCCGAATAGGGCACGCCTTCCCAATAGGAGGCCCTCATTTGTTTTAAAAAAAAAATATACCGCAAAATATTTATATATACAAACAAGTTGATATATTTGTAGTGGTTGAACGGTATCATAGCTGGTTGCACACTTGCTCACTGGATCTATAGTAACAGAGTGCCTTGGATTCATAACTCACTCATTATTATTATTCTATGTTTTCTTCTTTTCTATTACATAGTATAAACATTATGTGCCTGATTTCTTTTGCCGCATCAGACCCATCTGCCAAGTTGATGTGATAATTTTTATAAGAGAAGTTCCAGATATGCATAGTCTCGTACATACTGTTCTAGAAAGTGCTATGTGGCCTCAAGGCAGTAGACTAAGAGCCTAGCGGTACCTAGGCAGTTAGGTGAGGCCGTGAGGGCGGAGAAAGAAAAACCAGACATGGTCAAGCTCTATGGGGTGATTTTTTTGAGCAGTGATCATACCTTGTTGACCAACGAGACAGAGTTTGAGTCGTGGCATTTTCCTTCAGCATAGGAGCCACATGTACCAGAAGGAGTTCCATAGCTGGCAAATGTAACCTCAGTAATCCGAGTATTCATTGGGCACTTCAATTTAAGAGTTGGTTTCCCTATGTTCCCAATTTCACCATCTTGCAGATGCTCAAGATCAACCCAAGGATGATCTTCTGAGATTTGAGCACAGATGCTCGAGACTTTCCGAAGAGAGAAGGTAATTTGTGAAGGGTCTCCACCTATCTCTTCAAAGAACACCAATATGTTTCCAGATGGCTTGAACCATGACCGCGGCACATGGTACCTAATTGCTCCCAAATTCCGATCATGCATAAAATGTAAGTGTCATGCTTGATGTATGATAACATAGCATTGTAACAACCCCAGATTTCATGTTCTTCAGGCATCTTACCATCTCTGTGTGGGTTCTCCACAACCTGTGTTACACTTGTGAGGGTTAAACTTGCCTCTGTAGTCACATCGAAGAACACAATTATCATTTTCAGAGCTTTTCCTGAGCCAATATCTTCCAACTTCTTCTCCATTCAACCAAGCCATGCCTTTCCCCATATGGATCATGTCAAGTCCAACAGGTTCAGCTCCAGGGGGAGCATTAACGACAACCTGCAATATCACAATTGATATTTAAGGTTCAAACTCACTTCAGAGATGTAGGCTTTGTCAGACCCCTTACCTTATACCATGTAAGAGACTGCCCTTTAGGCGGAGCCGAAACTGGCACCCACATCTTACTGTTCAAACCGTCTCCCTGATATATTCTCAGAATCTCTCCTTCCAATCCAATCTGAGAATTAAATACACATGAAGGAACTCAACTTTAGAACATTTTGCAGCAGACATCAGTGCTTTATCTTTTCAAGAACAACTTGAAAAGATAAAACAAAAAAAACACAAAAAATAGTTGTTTTTCCATCAACAAATTACCTCTGCCAATGAACAGTTTCCAAGTAACAAAATTGCCATGAAAAAGAGAGCAAATGATCAAGGAAAAAAAGGTGACGTTTGTAAAATATTGCAATAGGTGTAAATATGCAGTATTCACTATTCATGTAAGTGCATTGTTCTCAAGTTGCACTTGTTTACAGTTCTGCCACTGCATTTTTTTCATTTACTTTTCCTGGTTTTTCTTGGACCCTTAGATCTATAATCAAATGCAGCATATTCATTCTCATTTTCACATTAAAAATACTTTTTATTTTATCCAGTACACACACACACACACAACAGCTGATTAAAAATCTCATAATGTTATAACGGATGCACAACAAAACAAAGAAAACTAACGCAAGAAATAACAAGCACTGTTCACCAATGAACACGGCAAACAGTGAGTATATATAGAACTCTAAATACACCTAGACTCGGCCTAAATCACGTCCACAAGCCAAACGGACAGTCCAAATAGGAATTACCCTATACCATTGAGCCAGGGCGTCTCGGCTCCCGGACCCCAGGCCAGGGGATGTCGTCCCCCTGAATCCCCGACTCGCTGATAAGGCAAGGAGACCCATGTACTTCCGCAAGCAGTGCAGTCATATTCAAGACATATTAACACGTCAAATGGAGATGTTACAAAAATCCTCGCCTCGGAGCTAGGCCTCCTCTGGTGGTTTCTGATATTCTCGTTATTTTGGTCCCGCCTACCCTGTCCCAGCAAGGTGCTATGACCCATTATACAGCCTAGCACCTTTTATAACATTTAATTAATACAAGTAAAAATGCTCACAACCATCTAATTTTGAATGTTAACGTTGAAAGTTAGTGAAAGCTAAAAGACGACATCATTGCATTGAAATATGTGTTTTCTGTCATTTATCTTGCTCCTCACTTCAATATGATCCCTCATTGTAGGCTTAGTCTATAGAAAAGCAGCACACATAGGTGCAAAGCCAAATGGATTACCTTGTAGGTCCAAATATTTGAAGACAAGTCAAGACTCCCATTCTTGAACCCTTCAACTTTTACACTTGTTAGACCTGCGCCAACCCATTCATAAAATGCACCAGCATTCTACAGAAAAAAAGATAGTTGTAAGGTTAATATAAAGAAACTAAATATCATTCACCAAGGCCAACTAAGCAATTGATTTAATATTCCAATTGATTTAATGAAAAAAACTACTAATCTCATGACACTAGTGCCAAACTTTGCCATTTAAAAGACATGATTCATTTATTGCATACGCCGTGCCTGTCCAGGAAAAAAGCCAAAATATTGTGACAATGGCATTAAAGGACTGATTAACCCTTAACTCCTTTTATTTAAAAGACAGCTTTGAGTTCTCCCATCATTTTGGAAAAAGTTGAGTAAATCAATGAAATACAGCAAAATAGAGGGAGGCGATAAGTAAATCAATTACAAATTTTTGACTTGATTTCCAAAATCAGAGACTTAAATATTACTTCTAGTTTTTCAATCCATTTATAGTTTACCTTATTCACATATGGTGTGTCATTGTGTCAAGTAAGCTCATTAGAATAAGTGTTTTGATTTAATAAGTATTAACACTGTTTTATCAGGCTGGGGCCCTATTTAGTGCATTTACTTGCTCATCTAGCCTCTTGAGGCTATTATAAATACTTAATTAGGGGTTCATTTTAAGAATAAAAAACAAAAATTCCTTGATTAAATGTCTCTGACTTTGGCGAAGCAGCCGAAGCTAAGTCGTGCAACCAATGTTCCTGCCGAGAGCGACCATCGGAAACCGACATGGCTCTGTTATCTTCTTCTCGTTTTTTTTCTTCTGACGTATATGATAAGACCTTGGAGAAGAGATTGAACATGCGCACACTTACCATAATGGTATAACCTGATAATCATCTTCTATAGATTCTCCATAGGCCATGCTGCAATTTGTTAGGTCCAGTGCAAAGTTTTCATATCTTATATTAGCACTGCATGAACCAGCTTATTACTATTTTATATACATTTTTCTATATGTTGCCAGGAATCAGACTACAAGTTGGACATACTGCAAATGATCAACGCATCTCAACCAAAATGTTCCAGTGTTCCAGGAATCAATGAGATAAGCATGCTCAAAGGATACTTGAATAATGATAGGAAGGACGAAAAAATACTATTCCACTTTTCTAGACAAAATTCAAGCTGAAATATGTATAAAGTTTCTAGATAAATTGCTCTCGTTGAAAAAACAGTTGCAAACATGTATCAAGGGAAGGGCTGCTCTCAGGCCAGTGCCAGATTAGGGGAAACCGGAACCTTCACCAGTCTTTTAATGAACAAGAGAAGAGAAGGCTTTTGAATCAGAGATTCAGAGACACATATCTCTAACCAGCCTCTTTCTGCCATGGCTATCGGCAATTCTGAAAATCTCCGTTCAGAGGATCCCCAACAGCAAGGGGACCTTGAAAACCCACCTGCCAGCCAAACAGCTCTCTTTTCCGGAGGTCCTATCTTGGTCAACAACCCTTTGCATATACTTTTTAGTCAAAAGAATGGGTATCACTACCAATATTACAACAGTGATTTACATCATGCATCACATTATCAGTGCCATTTTTAAGATCGAGTGTTCGGGCCTTCGGGAATACAAATGATCTGCACTTTAATCTTATTGGGGCAATAAAAGAGCTCTTGATTTGTAATCTGAGATGTTCTATGTTTCATGTGTAGAATAGGGAAAGAGAACACTGTGCTGATTGGATGACTAGACATTATGGCAACATATCATGTCTTTGACTTGTCCCAAAGGCATCAGGTTGTTGCTAACAAACAGTATACGCTGTTATTTCTAGGTGTCCTCATTTCATGTAACCACATATTTTCCTAGTCCTACAATGAGATATTTTCTACTGCATACAGAAACAAAACTGACCACCCCCACCCCCCCCATTCACTCATTAGCCTAATTGTCATATATGCAGTGGCATATATAGGAATTTCATTGGCACACACACATATATATACACACGAAAAAGATCCTGTCCAGCCGGAGGGACAGGGTCTTCTGTCCGGTCGCCGCCGTTTGGGGAGGTTCCCTGTGGAATATTTTTATAAAAGTTTTTGGGGATGTTCCTCATCAAGTCTAGTTTATCCACACAAAATTTCAGCGAAAAATTCGATCGGGAAGGCAGTCAAATAGAATTTTGAAAATAACTGCGTTTTATATGTTTAATTTGGTGCAGTTATCCTCAAAAAATTATTTGACTGCCCTCCCAATCGAATTTTTAGCTGAATTTTTTGTGTGGATAAACTAGACTTGATGAGGATCATTCCCAAAAAAAATCATCAAAAAATACCACCGGGAACCACCCCAAACGGCGGCGGCCGGACGGAGGATCCTGTCCCTCTGGCTGGACAGGATCACTCCTCTCTCTCTCTCTCTCTCTCTCTCTCTCTCTCTCTCTCTATATATATATATATATATATATATATATATATATATATATATAAGTATACAAAAACATTACAGAGTATAAATTAAAGAACTAGAAAATAAAAAGAAAAACTCAACACCTTACTTGTAAGCCCATGGTCATGCTAAGTAAGGAAATTTCATTCTTCCCTGCCTTGAGAAAAATAGGACTTCGCAGCTTGAAAGGTGGTACTGTACCATTTCCATATGCAGTAGCTGAAGAGAGCCAGCAGAACTAGTAAATTACTTCAGTGTATGTAGCACATCCAAAGAATTGGATGGCTTCTCCGAATTTAATGAGCATGAGCAGTATGCAAAATACTACATTGGAATAATTTGAAGTGCATAGAGTAAGAACCATGGCTTAACATAAAAATCATTTTCTAGTCTAGCATCAGAAACTATGATGAAATCGGAACCTTGTAACATTTTATTGATGAAGACATGCAGAACATGGCCCTTTGATTCAACTTGAAGCATTGCATTGGTTCCATTTATGAGCGACTGCTCACCCTCATCCACATATAAACTGCCAGTAACAGAAAGTATGGAAAAGAAACTAATGAAAAGTCAGAAATATATAAGGGCATACACTCAATTGACTGAATGAGTAGAAATGATTTTCCACAAGTTTGATTCATAAGCTACTTCCTTGAAGTCAGAATGGCGGGTCAAAATCTAGACATTGAGGTAGCATATTAATTAAAAAAGAAAACGAAAACAGAGAAAGGTGCGAATTTTGTTTTTGAAAAAAAGACAGTTGAATTATAAATCCTCGGGAGCATTCACCACTCACTGGCACCACTAATGCTAAAGTGCAAATGATATGTTAAATTAGAGCAATAGAAACCCTAGGATTTCTTATAACTATAGGTACTACATTAAAATATGATTCTCTTGTGACCAACTGGATTGGGTTGCACTATTCAGATGGTTTAGTTTTTTAATCCCACCACCCCACCTCCACCCAACGAAATACAACAGGAGAGAAATTTCCAAGTATACAAAAGTTGAGGTGTTACAAGTAAACTAACTAAAGTAATGTTAGGTAAAGTATAACTCATTAGAGTTTTGCAAATTAAAGTTTAGTAAAGTTCTTGTCCAGAAGTTTGAGTGGGCACCAATCAAGTTCAACTGTTCAAGTGTTCAAGTTTCAAGTTAATGTTTCCGAAGTTATGTTAAAGAGAAGTTGAAGTTTCAAAGTTCAGTAATTCTGCTCCACAATTCTAATTTGAAGTTGAATCCAAGTTTTCGATTTTTATTATAAAGCATTAAGTTTAAGGTTTTGTAATATGCGTGGAGTGTATGATGTTCCAGTTTGAGGGGAAGTGTTGAAGTATATGTAATAGGTTAAAGTGGGGTAAATGAGACCCTAGGGTCTGGCCCATTACACTTAGGCCACGTTTCCTGATATAAGTAGTGTATTAGTCTTCAGAAAAATCAAGTTGTAATGTAAAAGTCAACATATATGATGCTGACATTGCCTGCCCACCTTTTCCTTGCTGAGACAACTTAACCTCATTCTAGAGCCCATCTATCCCCCTTTCTTTAGAACTACCTTGCTCTTCTCAGTTCTTATAACCACAAGAAATTGGACCAAATTTGAGAAAAGATAATGTGTTTGGGTGTGTGTTGTTCTAATAGACTCAAGGGGAGGCTATATCAATTTGGACTAAGAAAGTCTGGATATTGTGAATATATGTGGATCGTTCGTGCAAACTTAACGGCGATTGAAAAAGCGCACCTAGGAACCTCTGTCGTACATAGGATTAGCAACCGCTCGTAGCAGACTGTTAAAAGGGGCAGACCAAGTCAGGAATTTGAGTTTCATGTTTCTTTGTATTATATGTCGCCCTCAATCTATGGCCCATTGGTTATGCATATGTTTGTAGCTTCCATGTTTAATTAACTTCTAAACTCTACCAACCTTGTTGTGTACCAGAGGTAGTCAGTAGTATCTTTAGTAGTGTTGATGTGGTCTACAAGTTCTTTCTTTGTGAAATCAGCATCTCCCCAAATTCCAGATGTTTCCACAAACACTTCCCACTGAAGACCTTTCAGGCCACTAACAGATGATGCTGATGACGACTGGAAATCTGATGGTATCATCTCAATTATAGAAGCTTGAGACCTGACCTGTTAAAAAATGATTAATCAGATGGCAACTTGTGTGGTAATAAATTAACCAATCTCGCAGACCAGCTTCTTGTGCATATAGTAACATATCTCGTGTTTTGGGTTTCAAAACACTGGAGACCAGTCACTTTGGTTAAAACTTAAAAAGAAATAAGTTAATGACTGGAATTCTCAGGGTTTTAAAATTGGGCAACCTGATGTAAAATTGTTTTTTCTTTTGAACATTTGGAGGTACCTGCGCTGTATTGAACACCACATTCCTGCAGTCGGGTAAAATGCTGACAGACCATGCTGGCAGGTTGTATTGCCTATTCCGGAATATTACCACCTTATCATTTTTATCATCTGCATTAGCGAGGAATGCTGCACAAGCTCCTTCTGATGCATTTTCATAGACATCTGCCTACAAAATAGTGGTCTTTCAATGAGTTTGCACTAAGATATAAGTAGATCATAATTCAACACTCAGTTGGAAATAAACACTAAAGGCTAATAATAATGACAATAATAATAGTACAAATAAAATAATAATAATAATAATAAAATTAATAATAGTAAAAACAATAATAACAATAATAAAATAAATAAAAGAACTACCAGAACAGATTACTATAAAAGAAAAGCACAAGTCCATTTCCTTAAAAATGTTAAGTTTTAAAAGTGGTTTTGAAAGTGCATGACTGAGAGAGAGAGACATTATATCACATATATTCAAACCAAAGGCAAAAAGTTACTAGAGGTCACCTCTTGTAAAGGACCTAGTGAGAGCAAAATGGGGTCATTATTCAGCAACACAGGCTCACATAACTTTATAGCTTTGTGAAGTTCTTTAAGATGACCCCACTTGGGGAGTCTTGCTAGACCTGAAAGTTGCATCAGATAATATCAAAGTTCAGCCTTACAATTAAACACTTAGATCTCATGCTCACTAAAAATATCAATTGATGTTCCAAGGCAAGTAACTTATCAATTAATATATGACTACATGAGTTTACCATATTCATCAATTGGTGCTTCATAATCATAGCTTGTGGTAATAAAGGGACCACCTGATGTGCGACCAAAGTTTGTCCCACCATGATACTACTTTATGCGTATAAAAAAAGTACAGAAAAGAACAAAACTTTCACATCAGTCAGTTGAGGCGCCATAAAATGAAATAATCTAAAAACAAAAACCATTCAAAGAAGTTCATTTGGACAAAATGGATTTATAGACGTGTAGCAAAGGACCGATTTAGTGTTACCCATTATGGATAATCGAAACGATATAGTTGAGATTTACCATGTAATAGTTTTGCATACTTCCACCTTTTTGGAAAAAATGGGCAACGGAAAAAGCAATGTCTTCTGGAGGCCTATGAGGATCACTTGCCCCAAACGTCTTAAACCTGAAATTTTATAATGCTAGATTTAATTATACAATTGAGCATATCAACTGATGACTAGCATTACAAATAAACGTTCTCTGTCTACTTTCAGTCCAGGACCTTTTGCAAAAGTAATTTCGAACCAGAAATGGACATGATTGTAAGGAATTTAAGATTCTTCCAATTGAGCAGGCCAAAGATAACCCAGAAAGCTAGATTGGGCTTAGGGTCTATCGTTAACTAATTATCAAATGCATAAACTGGCCGTCTTATTGTTTCACATTTGTTCTCCACCTTCAGGGGTTCAAAATTACAAGTATGTTGCATTATAAACAATAAGTTAACAGCATCAAATATTCCATCATTAGAGGAGGGGAAACATTCTAACTTAGTGTAATAGTGTTAACTGTTAAGTGGTGAAGGTTGTCACTTGGAGGAGGTGGGGCTGTTGAAATTGAGTAATTGAAAGGACTGGAGGATGCCATATGAAAATGAAACAAATAGACCATGTAACAAGGCAAATTTTGGTTTTCATATTCTAAACAGAAACACAGATAGAAATTTATAATGAATAGGTTTGACTTACCATCCGGGCCAATTTTCTGTCCATATCTTGGGTTTGGTTGGAGAGAGTGGTGTGAATTGATCACAGTAAAACAAATTGCAAGTGTCAATCTGTAATGAAATATATACATATAAACAATTTGAGCTGAAATGATTGATGTCACATTAATATAACATTTTAAAATCCGAGTCATAAAAAAGAAGGCAAGCCCAAGAGAGAGAGAGAGAGATTCAGGGAGGGCTTAGGATATTTACTATTGATAAAAACCACTTGTGCTTTTCAAACAGGCCATCTACAATTTCACATTTTCACTCAAGCAGGAATGTGTCAATGGTCTGTAACTGTTGCTTCAATCCACAAAGTAATACTTCTTAAATATTTAAGGCTGGAAACATGCGGCATGGCGCTATAATGAAAATAAACAAACACTGCACCGCCAAGGAATACACTGTGGCAACTAGATCTTTATTTGTTTGTGAATGTCTATACACCTATATATCTGGAAAGTAGCAGCTCTAACGTGATCATAAAACTCTTTAGGAACAAAAAGTGTTTTATTCATTTTTTTACATCAAACAACTTTACAGACACAATTTCTTTGAAAACCCTGAACCAGTTGTTTCTCCTCCATGAAGAGCTTGGTTAGTTTAGATATTGGCATTATCAAGTTCCTGGAAAACAATTCAATTTGCTGAAAAGTAGAAAAAAGGAAGAAACAACACAGACATGCGCTAATTCCTGAAATGGATGTTGTGTAATACTAGAGCAACACATGGAATGGCCAGGAAAAGCTACCTCACAACATAACGCAGAATCAAAGTAGAGTTGGAGCCTATAGTATAATCAATAATACCTCTGTTCTTATTAAAAATAGTCATATAGAGAGAGTTTTACTGTTACAGGCACTGTTTTGTGTATACAGGATTAAATGTGTAACCATACTTGAAAGGTGGATTGAGTACACTTACATGCACTGACGGGAATAACAACATTGTGTACTAGGAGTCTAGGAGTAAACATTGAAACATACTCCCTCCGTCCCCCAATTAAGTTCCCGGTTTGACTTCACACGTATTAAGAAAATAAATTTGACTTGGTGGAGTGCACTGTTTTGCGCTGTTCAAACACTGTTTGACACTGTTTGGCAATGTTTTGCACTGTTTTGATGTAGATAATTTGCCAAATAAGGAAAGTAAAGAAGTGTGAACTTAATTTAAGGACTGCCCAAAAAGGAAAGTGGTTACTTAATTGGGGGACGGAGGGAGTATATGTTAGCCAGAAAGTGTCAAACTGAAGCAACAACTACTTACCACCTCAACAGGAGCATCAAACTGCTCACACATAATCCAAGGGACACCTGTTTTCTGAGAAAGAGCCATTTTTGCTGCCCATGAGGCATACCTTTTACCTCCTTCTCCATAAGCTGCTTCATAGAAACCATATTCATTTTCTACCTGTATGCATAGATGAAAGAAATTTCAAGACATTCATAGATCTGAAGTAATAACTTAAGAATCCAAGAATATATCATAAAGAAAGAGTTACGAAAATTCCCAGCCATTTGTCATCACAAGTAAAGCCACATGAATTGACACATTTAGACTAGAGCAATAAGGAAGTTTTCCTTGAAGTGTAAACAATGAAAATTGATAAATTAAATCAGATGTGACTTTTTTAACGGGTATATAGTATATACATAATACGATGCAATGCCACTATAGTTTTACTTTTAAGGTTCATCTGGCCATCTGCACTCATGTTGGCCATTCAAAGAAAACGTTTCAGAAAATAGAATTTGCTTGAAGTCTATCACTCTATCTATCAAACATACTACGTATAAATTAGTTTTACAAAAATTCTACATGTTTTAAAAACCGTGTCAAACTCGGGAACAAATTTAAAAACAACAATTATTGTTTTGAATATTTCAAATTTCTATTTATGAATTTAAAAATTTAAAACAAAAGCACTACTCTATCATACACGACTTCTTGTTTCTCTCTTAAGGAATAAAGAAAACGAAAACAGAAAACAGAAAATAAAAACATGATTACAGATTTACAGTGCAACCTAAACAATGGGAAAATTTGTCTTCTGAATTTTACCTCATGCTCCCTGCGCCCAAAACAAGGGTCGTGTTACTAGAGTTTCTTTAGTCTCAAAAAATGAGTCAAATTTTTTAAAAAGAAACAAATGTTCCATGTATCTTTCTGGAAAAAGTTACAAACGAGATGAATAAGATAAATTTAGTTAAATCAAAACAATTATTTTAAAATAAGAAGGATTGTGTTGTTTTTTTAGAGTTGTCCTTGCAATAAATAAAAAGCTACTCATTGACCAAACAGTACTCTTGTTTTGTGACGAAGAAAGTGTTTGTAATAGTGAAAACTGAATGGTACTAAGCCAATAAAAGTTTGTAATTCACTGCTTCGTTATGAAGCTAAGATGGTTCTCTTACAATATCTACCTTACAAAACTAGAATTTCATAAGATTGGGAATGTTGTTAAGTCAGATCATCAGGTGTAGAGTTCATATAGCATCCATCCTCCCATTCGTCAGAAAAAGACTTGAGATACACATTGTGCAAGGACAAAGTCAGTTTGACATTCAAAACAAGGACTTTGATTCACAAAATTAATAGCCTTGCAGTATGTTCCAAATCGTAACATTTCATTGCTAATAAGATACTGGACAATCAAGCAATATTTGTAGGCATCAAGACATCAAGAGATTCATGTTCTACAATCAATTCATAACTACAACAACCAACACTTTTAAGACAAACAAGTTAGGAGCTTCACATACCTGCGCCAAGATAATAGGGCCCCCCTGAGATGCAAAAAGTCTCTCTTGCTTCATCAGATTTACTATGAATGTCATAAAGCTCTGCATGTGATACTGGAATTTGGATTCCAGGTTATGAATAAATTTGTGATCCTTCTGACAAATGTATCACTATTATCTACCGGAATTTGAATTAATAGCATATATTTATGCTGCAATAATGTGCACACCTTAAAAGGTTCATTGTCCGTCCGAAAAATGGTCCCTGGCACATAATGGAGCCATATAGGTATCCCACTGCATTATTAAGACAGCGGTAAGGGTCTTCTCAGTTAGATGTGATTTCCAATCTACAAAACCTAGTTGGCCGAGTTTTGACAACTGTAGAAGCCTTTAAATACAGGGATCAAAATTTTAAACCTCAATCCATACAGGTCATAATTCAATTTTACTTTCACTGCTAATACATAATCACCTATCTTGTAAATCTGTTGAAGGGTAGAATGGAAATCTCATAGCAGTGGTGTATAAGTATACCCAAAATTCCACTCTGCGGCAATGAATGGTCCAATTCGAAGAATCATATACATACTAGCTTGCTGAACGATCTTGCAAAATTTCACAAGGTCGTACCTTCCACCAAAGTAATACTGAAAGATGATTTGACATTGCAATTGAAATGGAAGCATTAGAATTAAGAATAGGAAAACGCAAAGTTTGGTTTGTATGTTAAGTTGCAGCCTCACATTGCCCGGAGAATGTTCATGACCATTCCAAAAGACATAAGTTTCAATAACATCAGCTCCTCCTTCCTTTGCCAGCTGAACTAATCCTGGCCACATCTAATGAATACCCAGTTTCATCAGCTATTCAATCAGCAAGCTTAAAAAAGAATCTTTCAAGTTTGGTAGTAATGAACACTCTTTACAAAAATGAAATTCACTAGGAGCAAACATGACGGGCAATTCAGGACATTGAGAGGAATTATATTTCATCAATGACAGTGCACGTATTACTTCTATCTCTCTTTTTCAATTGTTACAACAAAATGTTACAACAAATTCTACAGTTAAATCGAGAGAACAACCAGAAATAAAGTAGAAAATGTAACAGCAGTGACATAAAGAAAGCAGAAGCTACTGATAACAATTTATGAACCATTTTAGCTGGTGGTGGAGATGGAACTTACGGCAGGGACGCTGCGGGGATAGTGAATGGAAGCAGAGATGAGCAGCTTCCGCTGGCCATTGATTATCAGAGACCGCCTATCGTACGTCACGCTGTAATTTTTGCTATTAATCGATGGAGTGCTGGTGTTTGTGATATATTCAGCTGCTCCTAGACTTCCCCCGCCGGCTGCAATATTTAACGATGTGCCACTTGCTCCAGCAAAAGCGAAAACTAATGCCAGTACTATAAGTTTGCAATTGGAATCCAATGAAGTAGAACCAGAATAGCTGCTGTTGATTGAACGCTTCATTGTATGCTTGCTTACTATGATGCTATAGTGCTATACAGCCATTCTTATTCTTACTTGCTTCATGATCTGGTTGGGTGTGTACTTGCCTTGTAAAATGACTTGTGTTTGCCAAGATTATACTCCCTCTCCTCCCCAAAATCTATAATTAAGTTCCCAGTTTTAGTACAGAATTAAGTTCCCAGTTTGATTAGGATTATCAACCGGATATTTTGGGATCAACGCGATACAAAATCAGAACAAAGTGACCATCATGCTCTTCTGGTTCCAATTTAATAGTTGAAAGTGTACTGATATGTATTGAAAATATATTTAAACATGTCGTCTGGTATAATAAAATTTGCATCAATATGATTATTGGAGAAAATGATAGCTGGAGTATACTCTTTCTACCAATGTCAATTTTATGAGGGGAAAGTTCCCGAAATAGGACTAAAAAAGTTTGAAAATTCTAAAATAGTACTGTCATGTTTTTTATTCACAAAATAGGACTAATTATTGTCATGTTTGAAGTCTTGTACTGCCAAAACATGGCAGTGATTAGTCATATTTTGGGAATAAAAACATGGCAATCATATTTTGGAATTTCCAAAATGTTTTAGTCCTATTTCGGGTAATATCTCTTTTATAAAAGGAAGTTTATCTTAATAGGAGCAAAACGTGACATTTTTTCTCAAAATAGGACCAATTAATTTAAACATCTTTAAATAGAATTTTTTTTGTGTGATAGTACCAAAATACTCTCATTGCTGCCCCTCGACTACTGCATGTTGCTGCTGTCGCTGCCAGACCACCTTCGGCCGCCACTGAAGCTCTAGCCGCCGCAAAATTTTCCAAATTTTTTCCCTGGCGGTCTACCAGCATTTCTGACGCCTCTGAAATCCGCAGCCATCCGCTGCCACAGCCCACAGTGCCGCCACCACCGACGGACTGCTTTGGTTGTGCAAGGAAACTAAGGGACAATTATTTAGGTCAATTAATTAATATGTCGCTGCCGCCACCACCGGACTGCTCCCGCTACCAACGGAGTGCCTTGGTTGTGCAAGAGAACTAGAAGGGCAATTAATTGGGTTAATTAATTAATTCAATTAGGGGGTAAAAATGTAATGGTTACCAAGGACCTTACATTTTGACGTTGTTACAATTTGAGTGTGTCTATTATTGGGACATTAGTTATTAGGTAATTAAAATTCCATCGTACAGCCCGCTCTATCGTGCGCACGATACAGTCGAGCTTTTTAATCTTTCTGCGCTTCTCGCCCTCGCACAAGCTTCGCACATGACTTCGCAGATGTTTTCGCACCGGATTTTGCACAGGACTTTGCATCTCGCTTATTCAATCTCGTTGGGCTTCTTCGATCTGATTTCGCACCAGCAGCTTGTCATCAAAGTTCACCACTCGCCCCCTTCTCCACCCTACTTACCTACTCACCTCTCCTCCCTCTGTATTTCTTTCCAGCGTAGTTGTCGGCGTAGTTTTACCTAATCACATTTTAGGAGACAAAGGGAAGTCAACTTCGTGGCTGAGGAATCCTTGCTGCTGTTAATCTTAAATGAGTTTTACATTAAACTCAAATGAGTATACGCCTAAAAGGAATGAACATATACAAATGAATGTTGTACACATTAGAAAAGAGTTTTATGTTAGGATCAAATGAGTACAACGTTCAAAATGAATGAGCATACACAAATGAGCTTTTGAAATTTTTAATACTCATTTTCTAAGTTATAAATACTCATTTGATACCACTTTATACTCATTTTAAAATGTTGCACATTTCAAACGTATCCTACTGCATTAGATTCGCATGTTGAAAAATAATTAAACAAAAGTGAATTGGAAGATAAGGAGCAGAGAACACTGATGCTCATTGGTGGGCTCTTAATACTCAAAAAAACAAACCTACTGTCGCTTTGCTGACTGAGTCACCGTGATTAACCTCCCCACCATCCTGTCGGGTCGGGGTGGGGGCTTGAGGTTGGGCATCAATCAACCTTTTGGACGGAGAATCTGTGTTTTTCATCAAAATTACAAAACTGCCACCGGCTGTACGGTGAGCACCGTACAGCCGGTTGTATAGTATACGGTTCCGCTTTGACCCGTACATGTCTCTTTTTTCATTTATCAGAAAAATGCTTTTAATAATTTATTATACTCCGTAGTCCGTAATATATCTCTTTTTTATACTCCGTAATATTTTGGAGCATGTTGAGTATCCCATGACCAAAATCGCGTAAAGTGGTTCTTAAGGTAAAAAATTCCTAGACAAAAAACGTCAAAAATTATTTCACTTGTTGAAGGAAATTCTGTGGAGTGTGCAATCGTGTATATAGAATATGTATTAGGAGCATTCTGTGTAAACTATCTATTATATGGGCCCATTGGCCCATCTATGTAAACTCTAATATCTCCCTATTTATAGGCCTTTGATAATGAAACTATACACCCAATTCTCTCTACAACACGTTATCAGCATGTAGCCCTAAACCTATTTTTTCTCCCGTTCTCCCTACACTCAATCCGCAGTCGCGCCTCCAGCAATCCAGCCGCGCCGCCAGCAATCCAGCCACGCTTGGCCGCCTCCCAACACACCGACCGTCGCCCGGCCTCCCCCCTTCCTAGCCTACGACTCACCAATTCCCGGATCTCTGTTGAGGTATTTTTTTTACTCAAAAATCATTGCAGGATCTTATGTATATGATCTATTGCATCATGTTTACCATTGTGATGAACATCATTGATTTTTTTTAGAGATTAAGTTGTCAATTTTTTGAGATCCGTTTCTTGCACCCCAAGTGTTTGATGATATGCCTCACCCATTTTTTTTGAGAGATAGATGCAATTTTTTATTATAATTCCGTAATGCTATATGTTATAATCATACAGTTGGAATTAATATCACATTATGCATCCCTCTTCGTTTTTATACATCTATGTGATCATACTTTTTCGTAAAACTATATGTCATATACATATAGTTGGAATCAAAGATCACACGATTAATCTTATTTTCATGTATTTTATATGATTATATGATTATACTTTCCGTAAAGCTATATGTTAGATGCATATAGTTGGAATTAAAATCATATTATGCACTTTTTTAATTATTTTAAACATATTATGTGATTTTATTTTTCCGTAATGCTATATGTCACTTACATATAGTTGGAACCATAATCACGTAAGATTACTATATTTTATGCCTAATCCTTTCATTAGACCAATATTAATACTTTCTATATTAAAAACACCATATAACATCCTATAAAAATCTCTATGATTTTTTTGTAAGGAGGTGAATATATATCTCCTCACTTCGATACATTGTAAAATATTGTCTACAAAGAGATATATTCTCATGATTATTTTTTTGTGATAAAGAATTTTCACACAAGAATCGATTTTGTTTATACACAAGTTTCTATTTTATATCATATGAACTACACAAGTTCATGAATGTACTCATGATCATGTAATTTTTTTAAGATGGTTGACCATCTCAACTTGTATTTGGCATTTTGGCCTCAGACGGATTTGAGTACCATTATTCAGTTTTCTATATTAATTATTTGTGTGATAAAGATTTCCACACAAGGCTCTACAAATTTAATTGACCAATCAATTTGACCGGAGTTTGACATTATGCACTCAAATGAACTTGAGTATCTTCAACGCTTATTTTAGAATTCAATGCTACTCCGGCACACTTTGTGAAAAGCAAATCACAAAAGCTTATTTAATTTGATAGATCGAAAAAAATTAACCATTTTTACACATACTTATCTAGACATATACTAATGCACCAGTATATATTAAATAATTATGTAACTAACTAGCTTTTAGCTGACACTAGTGAATGATGTTTATTGTTATTGTGTCTTTTTTTTTTGAAATGCAATTACAATATTTTTTTGGGGATAAAGAAACCTCCCAAGAGTTATTTGGATAAAGAAATTTCCAAATAAAAAAAATTGAAAATATAAATTTTAAAGTAAATCCCTTAATATAAGAGGATTAAATGTGATTATCTCGTCAGGATATATATAACTTGAAACTGTACTTTTAGTTTTTATCTTCGTAGAATCTCTAAAGAATAAGAGATTCACCGCATGAGAATATAAATTAAGTTTCATGATTTTCTATTATTTTGAGAATAAGAACACTCTCTAATTATTGGGTTTATCCATTTTTTATTTTACTCTTTCATGAGTTTTAAAAATATGAACATTACTAATTCTAATTAGACTTTTATTCAAGTCTTACAGTTTGGTATAAATTATATTCGTTTGTGATTTTTAATTAATTTAACATCTCATTGTTCCATCTGAAATTATGTTTGAGATGTTTATGAATTTTGTTGGTCCAAAATAGGACGCTCGTAGGCTTTTAGGAAAGCTACGTACGACACTCAAGCAGGAATTAGGAAGGTACGAATATGGAAAGTTAGCCAGAAATAGCATATCTGTATTTGAAATTCGAATTGCCTTTTATAGGCGATTACAAATGGTAACTGCCGAACATAATAATGACTAAATTAATTACAACATTAATATGGAATTAAACACATAATTAAGTAGCGCATTGATTGTTGGCCGTTACTCTTCCTCGCTGGCAGGTCAGCCTGGCTGGCAGACTGGAAGCTTGAGCTCCCTCTTGCTGGACTCGACGGTGGGCTTCCCGCTAGGCTGGAGGAAGGCTTCTGACCGGGCTGGAGGCAGGCTCCCGGGTAGGCTGGAAGGCAGGCTCCCGGGTAGGCTGGAAGGCAGGCTCCCCGTTGGACCGGAGGCAGGCTCCCAGCTGGGCTGGACCGCAGGCTCCCAGCTGGGCTGGACCGCAGGCTCCCAGCTGGGCTGGTGGTCGGCAGGCTCCTGGCTAGGCTGGAAGGCAGGCTCCCCACTGGGCTGGAAGGCAGACTCCCCACTGGGCTGGAAGGCAGGCTCCCGGGTAGGCTGGAAGGCAGACTCCCGGGTAGGCTGGAAGGCAGGCTGCTGACTGGGCTGGTAGGCAGGCTCCCTGCTGGGCTGGACGGCAGGCCGCCCTGGGCTTTCACTCTTTGATGGGCCTGATCGGTTGGGTCGGAATGAGCTCTGGATCACTGGGCTTGGGCCTGCTGGTCCAAGTCCGGGGCTTGGGTCGATTAGGCTCTGGACCTAGTCCCATAACCCCATCACGAGTCCCCCACTCCCTTAGTCAAGTAGTAGACTCGGCTAAGAGGGAGTAGTTTAAGTCAGATGCCGATTTAAAAATATTCACATATCAAGGAACCATAATTGTGGATTATGTGAA